GATTTGTTAATATAATTTTTTACCAGTTTTAAGTCATTGATGTGCTAGACAGGTGATTTTAAATAGCCAAAGTTAAGAAAAAATGCAAAGCCACTCTAACTTTTTTTTACACCAACAGCCGTTACAATTAAATTACAATCATAAAAAAAACAATTTCTTGGTAATCAAATTCTTGATTTTTTTAATATCATATTGAACTATATTTGATCTGTTTGCCCAAAGAAACTTCGAGTAAAAAGTGTAAATGTTCAACAATCATCGCGTCTTCTGACGCCAAAGTGCGTTTATCATTCTTTTAAAGGATTAAAACCTATTTTATTTCTCTTTAAGAAAATGTTCAAATACACATACAGTACTACTTATGATTTGAGTTTTAATTTATGAACAGTAAAATCCATTGGTGATATGGCGGGATTTGAACCCGGGACCCCATGAACCGGAGTCCCGCGCTCTGGTTAGAGTATTATAAATAATAATACACAATACAAGTATGGCAAAAAATAAAAACAAGGACAACGAATTCTAAAATACAAGTCGTCCTTGTGTAAATTACTCACCTTTGAACGTACTATTGGTTCATAAATATGACTTTCCTCTTAATAGGTTCCTAATATTACGGTTAGAATTTAACTTTTTAATTTTCGTAGCATGATGAAGTCTAATTTTTAAATAGTCAATTGATATTTCTGTTACCAAATCTTCCAGTAACGCATACAACGCAGTATGAGAGGGGGGCGGGAGAGTAGCGCTGCCTCCCCCCCCCCTCCTCAGTACGCTGGCTTCAACGAAACTACAGCGTGTCCTCTCCTTAATGTTTAATCCTCCTAGGGCGTCTCCCCCAGATGACATACCACAGGCCAGTGACAGCGCCTACCACAGCAGCCCCCGTGACAAATGGATGGTCGCTGGAAAAAGATTATTGTGTTATTGTTAATATTACAACCCAAATAGAAAGTCTCTCATTAATAAAAAATTAGTTTTACCAAACAATTATAGTATATTATTCTACCCATGAGATAATTGGCAAGATACAACATAACATTCCAACCCCCAAGACCCCGTCAATCATATAATCTCTACTTTTTCATGATAGCCAAAATGACGTATAGAATAATGGAAAATTGTAATCATTTCAGCTAAATATAATTAATGGCCCTTGAACGAGCTATTAGACCATGGTAAACCATTCTTTAGGATCTATTGGTCTTTTTCAACAATCACATTTCAAAGTTAGTCAAAGTTTTTAAGTACTGTAACTAGCAAAGAAAAAATGCTTAAGGATCAACTTTAAAAAGTAACACTCATTATGATTTACATTGAGAAAATGTAGTTTGAAGCAGTACATTTTCTCGATATAAAAGTGGCGGATATAACTGAGTTACGATTCTTAATTAGACACATTTCTTTTAGATTTACTCATGAAATAAAACACAACGTTTAAAGATTACTTACTGTTAATCTGTATCATTAGAGAAGACAATTTCAACATATAGACTCATAATTCGAGTTATCAGATTGTTTTCTTACTGATTAGTATATCGATGAAGTGAACCTAGTTTGCCTTTATCCCATTTCTAAACATTGTTAAATTATATTACAACTACCATTAAATACTAAAATCATTAACAATCATTAAATTGCTGTTAAACTGGTCACTCACAAAATGAAGTTTAGAATTGTTTCCATTGGTGGTCCTAACCGTTGAAGAGTCTTCTAAGAGTCTTCTAAGTCTTCTAAGAGTCTTGTAGAAGAGTCTTCTTCTAGAAAGTGGTGTAACCCTTGATTCTTTTCGCTAATCAAGTTCTCCTGTTTCAAATCTTCTGCTTTTTTTATTAAACTGAATTAGCTGTACAGCTCAAAAAATACACAAGTTTACATCAAATCCTAAAAGTTGAAGTGAAGTAAATTCGTTGCTATGGATTTGATAAAATTAAACAAATAATGGTTTTTTTATAGAATAGCTCTATGCAAAAGTAAATCGTTCCATTACACTTTTTTAGGCGTTTTTTTTTTCAATACAGTATTATCAAGCATTTCATAAATAAAATAATTTATAAAATACACAACTTCAAGCTCCTAGTACAAAATCAAATAAATAACAGATTATAAATACGGTGTTGTAGTTTTATTTACTCATATTTCAAATTGTAGTCAAAAGTATAACAGTACCATGGAGCGCAAAGCCGATGAGTGCTTTTCCAGGCGAAGTAAAACATTTGCGTGCCCGGTAACACAAGCGGGTAACACACCAGCCTAAAAAGTATAAATTTATCCCCAAATTAGAAGAAACATTTTAGACTCTGTCAATACAACCCAAGTTGTAGAGCTTATATCGTGAGGGAAATATTCAAGTTTGGGGTTTTCTGGCTCTGTAAAGATTTGCTTTGGTTGTCGGTTCAATGGCCTTCAATGAACATCAAAAGGTTCAGTTACGAGTACAAGAGCTTCTTGCCTACTCTACAGTGTAGTAGAACTGTTGGTATTTTTAACTAAATTCTCATTATTTTTTTATAGATGAGCATGTATCAAGTTCAACTCACCTCATCGGTTAAAAGTAATTTTTCTTGTAAATTGTACAAAATCTTTCACCTGATGTCTTAAGAAATAAGATTGTTAAATAATTATTAACTCTTTCAGTGCTATGCAACGATATATCACTGTCCGTATTTCCCCCGAAAAGTGCTATGGAAGGATATATCGTTGTTCGCGTTTCTTCTGAATAGTGCTAAGCGACGATATACTGTGCCGGTTCAACTTTCAATTGTGTGAGTTTAAATGGGCATATCGATTGACTCGGTTGTTGTTTCCAAACAACGATGGTTTCTTTCGATTCTTCATATGATCGTGGCCCGATATATTGTTCCTTATCACTTTTGAGATGAAATATTTTTTTTACCCATTTATTTTCTCGCATAGACTCTGCCCCTGTGGCAAGTATAGCACTTTTGGCCGAAATAAGTAAATAACTCTAGAATTTTTTGGAAAATTACAACAAAAAATTCTAGCTTTGAAAGGGTTAACAATGCACAATAAAACAATATCATCAAAGATACCACATATTACCAATTCATTATCATCATCATTAGATCAGCTGTTTAATTAGTCAGCTTCACGTATTTCTAAAGCATTACTTGTAAATCACTAAAAGGAATGAATAACATTGAATTACTGAGGGGGGTTCAAAGTTTAAACGGTACAAGCAAGGGATTAAGTCTTAAAGCAAAGTTATTTAGTATATGCAACAATTGAAATACAATGCATACCATACCAAATATTGCCATAGACAAAATATGAAATCGTGTTATAGCTACCTTATAAGTATGTACTATACCATAACAATGAAAATATATTTAAAAATATAATATTTTTAAATTTAGCAAACATTTACAATAATGTGCATGATTTAAATGTTGGTCATTAAAACTTATATTACATAATCTGTTTTACCACAAGCAAGAATTTATTAATATACAGAAAATGAACTGTAGTGTTCAGTAAATTGAATATTTCATCATTACTTATTTAATATGTTAAGCAACAGTGATAATGATATATCTTCATAAAATATACAAAATACACGTAAATTAATTAGTAAACTTTATTCCAGAACTAATTCAACACAAAAGATAAAATGTAAACAATAACAATAATATCAACAATAATCATCTGATTATTTAAGCATATGACAGATAACATTACTAGCAACTACACGTATATTATTAGAAGTTAGAGGCAACGACATTTTGACGTCACAAAACAGTTAAACTATATCTAGAACTGCATCAAACTTGAGTAGTTTGATCGTTTGATACACCATAACATCAAGTTACCAAGTTGGATTGAGTCCAAGAATAAGCCAGCCCACACTGTGATTGGTTAAGTTTTATGTAACAATGCTGGATGGGTTGGGGGAGGGGGTAACAGCTTCCAGCTTCTGATGAGGATTGACCCCTCCAGCTACTATCTATATGTAGGGGCTGCCTGACTTAGTTAAATATCTAATTATAAAATGTGCCTGAGGTTAAATGTAACTTTTGAGTGTTGAACAATCCTTTTAAAACCTGTCATTCAAGTTTCCTTTCTTTGAAGTTCATATTTCGCTAATGTTCGTGAGTTAATGTTATTCAAGGGACTGTGGTTAAAATGTTGTATCATGCTTGGTATAAAATAAAAATATTATTCCATTATTGTTAGGTACAAGAAAAATCTAAAAAGATAATATGATCGTTTCTCACCTATGAAGGATATCATATTCTGATAAGTAGTGAAGAATTTTTTTTGGTCATGATGGAAAATGTCCACCTTAGACCCTTAAATAACACTGAAGTTTTTAAACAAAATTACCGTTTTAGTCGCCTTTGTTCTTGAGTTAGATGTTTGTGTATCAAAAACAAACTCATCACAAAAGTAATGCAATATAATTAATTACTAAACAAATGGTACCTGCATTTATGCGATCAATGTGTTGCTAAACCAGCCTCGACTCACAAAGGAGTCATCGTCAGGCAATTCTCTCGGATGGATTACAATCCTTGCCAGGCTTCTCTGACTCCTACTTTCGTTTAAAGATCTCTAAATAACTGTTTGCAAAAAAAGTGTCATCTATGTGTTTTATTTTGGATTTAGAATTTAGCTTTCATCTTTGGTCATGCTATATTTCCTTTTTTATTTGTTTGGTTTTAAAAATAAGTACTTGTCATTTATTTGGTTATAAAAAAATATGTACAATGCTTGTAAAATGTCTTATTGTACAGTCTTATAGTACAGAAGTATAATGGATACAATTAATATAGAATACATAATATTTTTGTCAATGTTAACTCATTTACATTTTGCATCTTTCTTTATTTTTTTCCAATCCTGACTTAAAATTCCATTTACGCCAGTTCCAAGAGCTCAATGTTTATGGGTGTGCAAAATTATGCATTCCACCCCTCCACCTTCCACCTTCCATTTCCACCTTCGTGGAAATCAATCTTCAAGACAATATTTTGTTTCAGTTGATGAAGATCTAACGGAAAGAGGATGAGGCCGCTGCCAGAGTCGCCGAGACTCGCTTTTTTCGAGTGTCCGATCTTAACAAATGAACAGTCCCAGGTGACGTAATAGTGAGTCATGGCAGACATCCAGAAGAAGTTTCTTTGTCCGCGGCTGGTGGACTACTTGGCCATCGTCGGAGCACGTCCACCGACCCAGCGGTCAGGGAACAATGCCTCTCCACCGGTGCAGGTAATTTTGCAGAAAATATTTATTTTCAAAGGTTGCAGCCCCTCTAAAAATTGTATTTGCCTGCTCCCACGGTCCTAAGGCTTATCAGAGAAGAGTATAAAGTAAAACAAAGGGTGAGCTGATACTCTACTGCTAAAAATGTTAGTGGTGGCATTGGGACACAACCCTTACGGCATCATTGTTATGGATCTATAGCTCTTTTCTCCACCTAATCTAACTTACCATATTAATTTGGCATGAATGTAAACCTACGGCAAATATTTGTAATAACATAGATAATTATCAATTTACACTATTCATACCTTTAAAGACCCTTAGGTAAAAATGTATAATGTCACTGTTCAGCGCATCAAGTTATCAAGTTAGATTGAATTGTGTGAGAAAGGGCTAATCCAAAATCAACGTTTTAATTGGTCCCGAGTGACATTTTTGGTTATACAAGTGGGAATGGTTGCCCCACAAGGATGGTGATTAACCCCTAGACAAGAAAAGGTACATGTATAAATAATGTGTGTTAGGCCCTACTAATTACTACTGACTAGGCTTGTGGCAGACTAGGCTTCAGCAGTTCTTGTGGTGATTAGCACCTCAGACTTCAGTGCAAGAGGGGTGCACTAGATCCCCAGCATATCCAAAAACTTTTTGGGGAGTGGACCAGTTTCACTTGAACGATTCAGTGATTCTACCATACGAAATTCCACAGTTGTAAAAGAAAACAACTAATAAAAAATACATCCCTCTGTTCTGCTACTTAAGCGAATTTCCCTATAGGGAAGTAGCTATTACCGTAGGTGGCACGGTAAGACCTAGACTCGATACCGATATCCTATTTCATTTTGATGTCCCTAGAGGCCAAAAACACTATTCGTTCAAATTATATACTGTATATATATATATATACGTCCATGAATGCGATAACTTGAGTAGTTTTTGTCCGATTTGGATGATATTTGGCTAGAAGGTGTAGGGTGGAATAAACTTGAATGAGTTCGCGGACCAGCATGATCGGACTATGGGAACGGGGTGTTATGTGGGGTTTTTGGGGGTTAAAAATGGGGTTTTCTCATTTTTGACCCTCAAAACATAAAATTTCCAAATTTTTCTCTACAGCATTTAAAAAAACTTGCTTGTTCATGGAAATATTTTAATCAAACTTGGTAAATTTATTTATTTTATACTTCATATATTCATATTTCACTAAAAACTCACCTTGTTAACCTCCCTGTGGCAGCAAACGTAGTTGTTAAACCTAATGTTATTTAAACATAGATTTGATTTAAAATCCAATACTGGTGATTGGAAATTTGCTTAGTCTGCTGGTTTGCTGTGGCGGGGTATCCATGGTATAACAGATAGTCCTCGGCCACCATACTTATCAGCAGTACACTTTTTACGAACTACAACCTAGAATTAATAGTGATGATTTTTAATGCTGAATCACCATATGTGTCTCTAGGCTCCAGAGCTGTTGCGCCGCTACCCAGCGGACGACCACAAGGATTTCCCCCTGCCTCTGGACATGGTATATTTCTGTCAGCCTGAGGGGTGTGTGTCGGTGGGGCCGAGACGGACAGCCTTGCGGGAGGCAACGTCCTTCGTCTTCACTCTGACTGAGAAAGACTCTGGTGAGCTATGAAGTACTGTGAAGTTGACATGATTCCAAGTTAATGTTGTATATAAGAGTTTGCTAGTTTGTGTTTTTTTTTCTTATAAACTGACTTTTCAAGCTTATCAAAGTGGAAAGCTATGTATTGTAAAGCTGTAGCATCTTTGGTGTTACCGATCTTATGATGATTTTTAGTGTGAAAAACTAAAAGAGGACTTAAAGAGAACTTAAATGGTAGCACACTAATTACACTATGTCTGGTTGATTAAAACATTGGCTGCTTGTCCAAATTATAGTTTTTTTATACTTCAGTAAAACTATTGTGATAAATAGTCTTGCGGTTTTCATGGGAACTTTTGTGTCTATTTAATTTCCTTATACATAATCATAATAGTAAATTTTTTCAGTTTATTTTTCTAAGGTTTCCATGTTTCCATAATAAAATCACGTCTGATGGAATGTTCAGATAAAAATATAATCGTTCAAACTAAAAGTGAAACAAAACTGTGACTTCATTAACAGTATTTGTGATGGATAATCCGCCTTCCTTTTGTATAGACGGTGTTATTAGTACCTAGGCAATTGAAATTTTATTGGTCTTTTCACTATAGAAGGTATATGTATCCACTGTAAAAGTCATAGAAGAAAAACTGACAAAAAAAAATTGTAAGGGTTAAAACTACATTTAAACTATACCGTGATTTACTTCTCCGGAAAAGCGGGTGTCCTTATCCATACGTGATCATTCGTTCAATTGTGAAGCTCTTAAGTTTACCAAATGAAAAATACTGAAGAAACCAAACTGCTGTGTAAACAGATGTTTGCTTTCAGGCAAGAGCAGGTATGGGATATGTGTCAACTTCTATCGACCGTTGGAGAGAGCAGGGGCAGCACCTAGTGGGTCTGCGCGAGACAGGCGCGACAGACACCTGCGCAGAGAGAGTTGGCGCAAGAGTATGGACAAGAGCAGTGACTCTGCGTTCTCAAGGTGGTATCCAATGAAAATAAGGTTGTTTAGATCATTGTTCCCCAACCTGTGGTACTTGTACCTGTTGTGGTAGACAGAGACCATTGTAGTGTAGGTGGTGACGTTCTAAGGTATTTCAACAAATACCAGAATATTCTGACTGTTTAGTGTTTATTTCAGGATTTTTTGGCCTGCAAGCATTAATAAATAGCCCATTGGCCTCTGTGTATGGACAAAAAGTCGCTAGGAAGATGTCAGAATTGTTATGCTAGTTTAACCTAGTAAAAACTAACTAACTGACTTGGAATAGAACTCTTAAGTATTATCGAACAGATAATTCTTGCACCAGGTGCTCAGTACTCCACTACAGCATTTTTTAAGAATAAAAATTTAGTCTTCCCAGGAAAGGTTTATAAGAAAAAAATAAGGTTGGCAAAGTAATAAATCATAAACATACAATCTTTCTAGAATTTCCTCCACATTACTACGCAAAATAGTTTTGTCTGGTGAAGTGGTACGCCAGGGAAAAAGATTGTGAAACACTGGTTTAGATTAACAGTCTAAAATGAAATTTAGAGTTGACCCTTTAACTAAAAAAATATGTTTGTAAAAGTAAAAAATAATCTAGCTAAACCCAAAGATAATGCTTAAAAACTTGTGTGTAAAATTAATACACAATGTTCCAATAGGTCTTCTAGTTCAGATTTATCCATGTAGTGAGATCTTTGCTCAGTAAGATGTTCTGTTGCTTCATTTGAAGGTTGTCTTTCACTCACGTACATAGACATTACTTCTAGACTATGTTGTATCTCGCTTACCTACAGTATTAATATTTGTTTGTGTTTTTAAGCTCTGTGTACGTGTGTGTGACTAATTTATACTTCTGTTGACCACATTTAAATGAAGTTACAAGACTTACTGAGACTGTAGATTACTATTTTAGTTGGTCAAAACTAGTTGTACTTCGGCATTATTTTGTATTACATGAATGCAGCTAAATACACTAATGTTTTATATTTAAATGCAATTCTGATGCTGAAATTCCAAGAAATAAAATAATATACCTTTAGGTTAACAGGCAAACAGCTCCACTCAGCTATCTATTTGAGGGGTTTTAGCTAACTTAATAGAAGCATCTTACAAATTACCAGCAAAGCCTAATTTGAACACTACAGCAATTTTTTTCCTAAAAACTTATACAACTTGTAAATATTTTTACACATACACACAATTGATGAAAATATTGATTGTTAATTGGTTTTGTTTCAAGAACATGGTTGTTTCAGTGACTACAGGAGTACCGTAGCACCGAGCGACTCAGATCGAGAGAGTCGAAGGGATTCAGAGGGCTCTCGGACCAATCAGAACTCTCGATTGGCTCCTGCGCCAACCAACGACTCTGAGAGTGGCGGATCACATTCCCCCTCCCCTCGTGCCAGCCGCAAAAGACAGGTGTGGTATTGGTAAATCTAGGTGCTGTTGAATCAAGAATAGTTGTGTTAGATTTCTGTGTGATTTACAATTTGAGCAATACCTAACAAATCTTATTTGCTATGATGAACATTTTCTGAACAAGATGCAGGTCTGATATATTAACTTTCAAAAAATCCCCAGGGTTATTTATTTTTGAATAAAAGTACAGTATCTTAAAAGAAATTTATGGAGCAGATCTCTTAGAAAATTCATGGCACTTTCTTTAGTAGAATTTCTTATCACCTCGAATCTGTTGTAACACTACTAAACAAATTGTTAGATCCTACTTTTATACTACTAAAAAATGCAGATAATATTTTACTACCCACTAGTGTTTCAATTATTAATAGTTGATACTATTCACTTTAGTGGTGCAGTTAATTTAATGGCTTGATCACAACTAGATAAAAAAATAACTTAAAGAAAGGTTTTTTAGGCAAGTAGAGCTTTCTTATCAACAAAGAACTTCTTACACTAGAAGCTGTTTTATAATTAAATCACAATTTTATTTAAGTTTAAGTATATATGTGTATTCCCTATATCTTATATGGTTTCAACTCAGTTAATAGTTACTCTGTGTTTTTTTCAGCGTGTAAGGAATCATTCGCTGACCTCATTGTGCCTGCTCACTCATCACCCGTTCTTTTCAATATTCCGTGAGTGTCTTTTTATCCTCAAGCGTCTGATAGATGCTTGCAATGAAAACTCTTCACCACGCAGAGTTGGGGCTTCCAGACAAATTAACAGGTCAGTGAACTCTAGAGAATAGTGATTGCAATATTGGGTGGATTATCATTGTTTTTTATGTTTAAGTATTAATGTATAAGTAGGTCATACACATTCTATAGCAGATCATATGAAAAAGGTTCAATGAGTATCAACACTCATAAGAAAAATCACAGCAATTTCAGCTAGCATCAATGCTAGCTGAAATTGCTGTGATTTTTCTTATCCTTATTTTAAACACTTAGCCTCCGGATCATGTTTATATTAAAAAAGCTTTGAATTCAGGTTGTACTGTTAAATAATCTGATTTTCGTCAGGTGACCAAGGTTTAAAATCTCAAGGTTTGTTTTTAAGCTTAATATCAAGTAGTTGAAAAACCTTCATCCTTGGGTTTATGAACAAAAATTCAGCCAAATGGTAGGGATGAATGAGAATGGATTTTTAATTTGAGACAAGATGAGCCGGGATTTTTTATTTCTCATAAATTTTGAGACGAGATTGAGACGGGATTTCCCTTCTCATACCTTACGGGAAATGCATGTTTGACATTTTAACCTGATTTTGTAACATTGTTAAATACCTACTGATTTATGACTTCTGGTTAAAAACAAAAACAAAAATAATAGTAGGCAAGAATTTTTCAAATCTTATACAGTATTAAAAAACATCAATAAAAAATTTAGTATAAAAACCAATATTAATTAGGCCTACTTGTTGAAAATAATTCTTACGCATAGGAAACGTGGTGATATAAGTTATTGTGATATAGTTCCAACTTTGACAAATACAAATTTTATCAGTCTGAATCATCAGTTTTACTAGTTAAGTATTAAATTATAATAGTAGTACTTTAAAAATTAACAAAATTATAAGTCTAAAACATCAGTTTACTAGTTTAGTATCAAGTAACAATTTTTCAGTCTTGTATTATTTTTAGAATGATTTTTGAGTGACTTGTATTGGCTATGTTTACAGAAATAAAACATGACTCACACTGCTTACAATTAACAAAACTTCTCAACATTTGCGATGTCAAAAAACAAATTATAAAACAATTAAAGCAATATTTACATGTAAAGAATGTATTAAATAAGAACGCCTGGGCAAAGGAAACACAACAGCAACGCGCTTCTGTACTGCGGGTATTGCATTGATTTTCTGTAGGCGTTTTCAAGTTTTTTTAAAATCTCGTCTCAAAAAATCTTAAGCAAAATAAAATTTTAAAATTTCCGGAAAATTTCCCGAATTTTTGTAACTTCTCCATTGCTACCAAATCGTAATACTGATAGCATATACACTAATCCATAGGGTTCATAGGGTGAGTCAGAACAATTTTTCCAACCGTTAATCGCTTGACAAAAACTGGATCATTCAACCGTACTGTATAAATTTTATTTAAGTTTACTAACTTATGTTTTCATTTTTTTGACAAACGGTCTACTATTGTTGGGGTTTATGTTTTATGTGCTACTTAACAATTTTCAACTTAAATTTGAATTTCCGCATCATAAATCCAACCTCACTCTATTTTTACTTGTAACATGTATTGTTTAATGTTTTTTTTTTCTGTGCACAGTAACAACAATTATTTATTGCATGCTATCTTTTTGCTATTTCTTAGTTTGTGTTTTATTATGTGAACATAAATAATTGCATAACCCACTTATTTTAGGTTGGTTTGTGTAATTTCAACACAAATAACCGCATGATAAATGTGTTAAGCTTAGTTTGTGTGCTGTTTCTGTGTACATGTTCACAAATCGTTGCATGATCTATTTGTGATTTTTAGTGATTCAGATAATGATTCTGCAAATATTGTGCTAGAAGAGTCGATTCATCTTGGCAGTGGCTCTCTACAGAGGTACTCAGAATGGTTTGAGCTTTGTTTTTTTTTATATTTTAATATGCTCATCCTTGCTTGTTTTTTTTATCTTACTGCCATGGCCATTTTTACCCCAGAAGGTGTTTAGTGACACCATCTGCTTCCACTTTTTCTGATCCTTTCTTCTTCTTATATATCCTTTTATTTTTGGCTTCATATCAGTTTCCACCTCTTGGCACTCATCTTTATTCTTTCTCTTCTTTTAGGGTTCAAAGGGCCTTTTTGCTCGTGCGTATCCTCCTTTGTTTTTTCCTCTCCTTTTTACATGTTCATTCCATCTAAAAATCTGCTTTTTGCTGGAACAAACATTTTTTATGCTTGAAATAGATCCCTGCTTTACTTGTTGTGGTGAGTTATTCAACAACTTTTGACTGTTTAAAGTTGGTTTTGGTAAAATCAGGTAAGCGTTGACATTGAAGTGGTAGTTCTGTATTTTTTCCAGTAGCCTATTGATGTTCAGATCCCTCTAAAAATCAGTTAGTTGTCAGCTTCTTTGAAAAATATTTATTATTTTTAAAGAGTGAATTGGGAGAGTGAAAAAAACTTATTGGCTTGAGCAGAATATAAACTAAATGTATATATGTGCAATTTTAGCATGTTCCGTCAAAAAATTTCTAACTAGGCTTCCTGATTTTATCTTTATTTATTGGCCTGAAATGTTCTGGAGCTATTGTTTTTCTTTAACTTCCATTTTTTTCACGACTTACTATTAACCTACTGTAATCTTTCAGGATGAATTAATAAATATTGTTAAACAGACAAATAAGATTTCAGTTGTAGTTTATCTATTTTACAAAAATTAAAAGAATCACCCTTATACGTTACTGTATTTGTTTAATAATTTAGTGCATATATATATATATATATCTCTCTCTCTCTCTCTCTCTCTCTCTCTCTCTCTCTCTGTTTGAGTGTTTGTACAGTGATTACATGGTTTCGCAGAGATACTGTGTGGAGCTGTTTGACTGGTCGGATGTTTGACGGGACGCCATCAGTCGTTGTTCACGATGTCCGGGAGATCGAAACTTGGATCCTGAGGTTGCTGAGCGCTCCTGTTCCTGTGCCTGGCAAAACTAGAGTCGAGGTAATGTTTGGCTACTTTTGAAATTTTAAAATCCGTTTGAACTTTAATTACCGTAATTATTATAAAAGTCTTATCGAAATATTTACTGCAATCTTTCTTGAGGCTAGGTACTCCATGTTTCACATTGTTTTTCATGGGAATCTTTTCAAATATTTACATTAAACAGCATCCTGGATTGTCTGGCCCTGGCCAAAGAACAAATAACTAATTGTTCTTAGTCAATATCGCTAGCATTAATCTAATTCATTTAACCCTCTTTCGGTTATCTTTGGCATGAAAGATGCACCCTGATATGTTGGGTTTTCATTAGAAATAATTTGAAATACCTTCAGTAAACAATATATTGTAGATATAAGTTCAATAATGACTGTCTTAAAGTCTATAACCACTTACAAAGTGCTAAAATTTTCTATAAAGGATATTAATACTAGGATGAACATCCAAATGTATCACTCACTCACTCACTCACTCCCATGGCCATTTTGCCCAAGGCGGGATTTGGCCGCACCAACATACTATCCCACCATCTCTTCTTGGGCCTTCCTAATGGTCGTTTCCCTTTTGGCTTTCCTACACTTGCTTCTTTTAATAGTGACCAAATGTATCAGTTTAATAATATACTAAACTGTATTGTATTCCAATCTGTTGAATTTGCTGAAACATCAGTGTGATTAGTTGAAGATGATTGACAGGAAAATATGATTGCCTTGTAAAATCTATTTCCTTAGCAGTTAGCAAGGATTATTTTTTTCCAATGATTGGGGACCGCTAGGTTCAGTTTTGAACTAGTAAATTACTTCTGACTTTTCTCAGAGTCCAGTGACCTCCTATTTATTAGGCAAGCTCTCAAATCATTTGCTCTTTGGGACCTTTCCCTTGATATATCAAATTTTTCATTGTCCAGGCAAAGCTTATGCAAACAAAGAATTTCTAAACTGGTTTTATTTTCTACACTAAAATGTACAAAACACTGAAATATGTTTCCAAAAAGTTCATTTCAGTATATATAACTACTTATATCAATGCAATGTTATGATTCACTAATCTCACTAAACGTCCCTATTCTGTTCTACAAATGTTGTATGTGGTGTTTAGGTGGAAGTTTTATCGCCGAGAATTCACCCACCTCTAGTATTTGCTCTACCAGACCACACTCGCTTTTCATTGGTAGACTTCCCGCTTCATCTGCCTTTAGAGTTATTGGGAGTCGAGACCTGTTTAAAGGTCTTGACTCTCATCCTTTTAGAAAATAAGGTATGTACATAAATTTAACACATGGTAATTAGCTTAGTTTAATAGAACCCATTTGCAGCAAACCTACAAAAGAAGCAGGACTCTATTTTCTTTGAGTTTCTATTCAAACAGGGTTTACAAAAGGAGACGTAAACTTAATTTCCCGTTTAGGGTAGATAAAATCAGCTCAGTAAATATTGAGATAGCTGATTTGACTACAATTATAAAGCCTAAAAAAAATACAGAAGTTTGTAGATTTTTATGACTTAATATCCATAAAAATCAATTTGCAGCCAGTAAAGAATATCCACATGTAGTGCGGGGAGGCACCCCTCAATGTACTTACGCCACTGTTTGCAGCGATTGATTTATCTGTCCTATGGATGGTTCATCTGATTTATCTGATCCTATGGATATAGATGGCTTGGTAGGTAAAATACGATTAGTATTTTCTTAAATCATTTTCTAGATCCTGAAACGCTGTGAAAAATTTTAAACGTATACCACTTATCATCTTAAAAAATAAAGGTCAACCAAAGAGAAGATAAAGATGATTTGATTTCTCTTGATTGCAGTTGCTGATTCAGTCTAGAGACTACAATGCGTTGTCCATGTCAGTGATGGCGTTTGTCACACTTATATATCCACTGGAGTACATGTTTCCGGTTATTCCTCTGCTGCCTACCTGCATGAGCTGTGCTGAACAGGTGATTTACGTATAAATTATATGAAAAAGCTATGTATAAGAGTTGTTTTTTTTGTTTTTTTTTTAAGAACAGCTAGAAGCTTTCTTACCTAAGAGAAATAGAGTCCAGGGGATTTTGGATGGACAAAAAATAATCACAAACATGACATAAAACTGATGTTTTGTCCTAGTGAATGAATTCCCCTGGTTGTAGATTTTACAATATCTCATTTATGAAGTCAGATATTAAAACAATATGTCGTTGGGTATCGGTATCGGCATCAATCTTTGATGATAGATTCTCGATACAGAAATGTCCAAGAATCGGTGGTATCTAGAATCAAGAATCAACACATCCCTAAACCCTTTGTACATACAATCGATGCAAGCTAAATGCTCACACCAGAATGCCACAATATATTTAAAGATTTTCTAAATATGTTTACGTCTTACATAATTACATAGCTGGCCATGGGTAGCCTAGTTAGTACATAGCCTCGCTAATGTGGCCTCCACTGATTCGTACCTTCTGTGTTGTTCTCGATGGACAAAATGATATTTGACAAAATGTTTGCCAATGGGCCTCATTGAGCATCTCTTTATTGTCGTGATCTTTCAAGCAGGTTTTTGGCTTGCATGTAATTTAGAAAAGTCATGATGACATTTTGCACCTACCATTATAGTTATAAGTTTCATACATACTCTCCAAAGTAACTTGTTTCCAAGATTATTTCTAACTGATGTTTTTTCCACAGCTCCTTCTAGCTCCGACACCATTTGTGATTGGGATTCCCGCAAGTTTCTTGATGTTCAAGAAGAACTTTCGTCTGCCTGATGACATCTGGCTCATAGATCTTGACTCCAATAAGATTTCCCCACCCACTGGGATGGCGGAGGATATTCCTCCCCTACCTGAGCCCGAGGGAACCATCCTCAAGAACCACCTGAGACAGGTAGGCTTGCCCCCGGTTCAAATCCTTGCTTGCGTTAGTCTTTCCAGTTTGTTTACCCAAGAAAGAATTATATATTTGATGTTAGCCTCCGGATTACGTTGAATAAATTGTTTTAAATACCTGCTTCTATGTAATCCAATAGTTGCAAGGTCACACAACTAGTTTCAACTTCATGAAGAAGTCATCTTTAGGCGTCCAGTGGATGTCAAAATCACTTCATCACAAGTCTAGACGCTACATCCACCCGGTCGTGACGCATCATCCCTAAGTTACCATTTTTATTTATCTCCTAGTCGTTGTAAATGTACCTTTTTTACGTTAACTATGTTCGTGTTCGTACAGTAGGGCCTACAGTAGACTCCCTGTTATCCGGACACCTTTTAACCGGACATCAATTTAACCGGACTACACTCTGTGGAAATGACATCTCTTTAACTGGAAAATTTTTTTAGCACATAGATTAAGCCGGGCTAGATCGGCAGGAAGTGGGTGGTACTGAAACGACTGTTCTTGTGGGAAAGATTTGAGACCAGTGATCACGTGTCTAAATACAATGCACTCCTAAATTTAAATAAAATAAACGAGTTTTTAGGGACGTCGGTTTAACCGAAAAAACCGTCATCTGGACTGGCCTTGTTCCCGATTAGTCCAGATAAGAGGTAGTCTTCTGTACGTGTTTGTTTGTAAATGTTCAATATGTGTATCGACGACCTCCTGATGAAGAGATTTTGACATCCGATGGACGCCTGAAGAGGACTTCTTCATGAAGTTGAAACTAGTTGCGTGACCTTGCAACTATTGGATTACATAAAAGTAGGTATTTAAACAATTTTATATAAAAAATTATAGTTGTACTAATGGGGGTTTTTATGGACTCTTGCTAACCCAAAATTCACATAAATGATTTTTCCTTGAGTTGTTTGTAGACTTAGATATTGAAGTTGCAGGGATAGTTCTTGATAACATTTTTAGCAAAGAGGTAAATCAGTTCACATTATCATTATACATATGCTTACAGTCATCAGTCGAGATAAATTCTACATAACTTAATAGAAGAAAACTTTTACTTATGGATGAAAGTACAAATTGATTTTGACTACTAAACATCGAGTTAAGGTGTTAATTATTGTTCCTCTTAATCTTACAGAGGTAAAACAGGCTTCTAACTGTAAAACTATTTTGAAAGTGATGTGGTATGTTGTTTTACTTAATTTACAAATTTTGCAAGACAAATGAAAAATTAATTACGATATCAAGGTTTTCAACTATCAAGATTTGAGTTGGCAAGAGTGAATTATCCAATTTTAAATGAATATGAATCTATTGTTGAAATAAGTGAAACGTCAAAAGTCTTCCATGATATAGCTCTGTTATCACAATTTATGGTTGTTTATTAGGTTTCTATGCTATAACAATTCCTAAGCACTAGAGAAAGCTTACGACATATAACTTGTTTTCGGTAACCTTGTAATTTAATGTCAACTATATGTAACTGTACTAATTTAAAATTGAAATAAAATTAATTGAAGTTAAAATTCCTAACTATAAAACCATAAGCAGATACTTTTTTAATGGTTCAAAAAGGGGATTTGACTTGATAAATGATTACTAAAGCACTTATTGTATGGGTCTACACATGTTGTGTGTGCATGTAGAGCATTTTGTCCAAAACATAGTGCATATTAAGTATTTATGGTCTGAAAATCTAAAACCAATAAGTTCATCTTGTAGTGAGCACAGGATCCGTTTTGCACAATTTCAATATATAGCACGTACACTTACAACTAAAATATCCTAACAAGTTGCTTACAAAATAAAAATAAAATAATTTTCTAACTTTTAAGTTACTCACTCAGTAAGGAGTTGAAAATTAAAATCCAAACGCTATATTTCTATTAAATTTTTCCTTATATAATATTAAATCAGCAATTTTTTTTATACTGTAACACTAAATATATTTTAACTACTAAGTGTAAATTTTCCAAAAAGAATTCTTCCACGTTTTGACAGCTGTTTTTGTCTATAAATAGGCAATGCAACTTATGGATCAGGTACGCCAACACAATAACATTTCAAATTTTGTTTCTGCATGTTTCAAAATCTCTTCCGTGTGCATAATGCTTTAAGTAAGGAACACAAACACTATGCAATGTGAGTTTTTGCGTTTTATCTCCAGCAGATTTTGTGATTGGTGGAAAGTGCTCTTCTCGCTATTGTTGCTGTTTATTTTTTTACATTTACTGTAATAAGCATAAAGTCACATTATCAATGTATTTAGTAAAAGCTGCAGGGATGTAGTTTGTGGTTTTGTATTTAGTACAATCATATTATGACGTTTATTGTAGATTAAAGTTACCGTTTTGTTGCATCGTAGTGTTGGTATATTTTTGTTTGATTACTGTTGATGTTTTACTTTGGATTATTGATTATTTACTACAGACAGTAGAAAAATAATCACTTTGATCCAATTTACGTTAAGAGAGTTTATATTATAAGTTATTTGTGAGGTAAAACTGAAACAATATTTTAGGTGTGGAGTGGAAGCTATGTTTTAAATCTTGCATTGTTAGATAACTATCTTAGCGTAACAAATGATCATGTTTTTATGTACAAAACATCTGTCATCATACTTAAGTCATCTTACAATTTTTGTGCCATATTATTTTCCAGTTTATTTTCAAGTTCTATTTACAATATATTGAATTGAAAACTACAATAATCAAACAATTTACCTAATAAAAAAAAATAATAAAAAAACCTATACTTAATAACTTTTTTAGGAGAGTGATGTATTTTGAGCACATATTTTTTACTTGATGAGTATTCACATCAGCACATCCAAACAAAGAATAAACTAGTTTAAACTTAAAATATAGTTTTTATTGGAAAAGATGACAACAAATACACAATCCTACCAAAGGCACAAGTTTACATTGTCAACACTACTAGTAATGCTTAGTAAAATTGTTGTAGCTACAAAATGTTCAATACTTTTTAGAGTTGTCACTAATCATGCTAGCAAGCTGTTTAGCATTGGTTATAGTGTGTGACTTTAGTTTGAAGATGATATTTAGTCATCAATAGCTTTGCTTTGAGCTTTCAACTGTGTTGGGGGCGATGTTCTTACCCTGCTTTAAAAAAAACCTATAAGTTGGTAATTGGTAAGCAACCTGTATTTTTCCGCAAGAATGGTGGGTGTTTCCACACAGAAAGATTTACGACTAGACACCACGGAATAGAGACTATGATAAAAAAATCATCTATAATTGATAACCTAGCAAACCTTACTCTTTGGAAAAATAATTCCATTTGTTCTTTTTTGTCTTGTGGTTTATGTATTGATTACAATAAAATAATTATTCCAAATATCTTGTCGTCAGTAATTTTTTCACAGAAAACTACTTGTGGAGTTTTATTGCAACATTTTAAAATCTGATTGACAAAACTATAGTGCATGTCATCACAAATACCATGATTTCATGTGACTGACCAAACAAGCAAATACCTCCAGGGTAATGTCTTAGCCTTCTGCACACAGTGGCAGCGATAATAGCTCGCGGGCCCCCCCGCAAGTTTGTTCGCCGGGCCTCCCTCTCCCAATAATCTTAAAAACATTATCACATGTATAACCGCCTAAACTTGCACTTTATATTGGCACGGCACCTCCCGAGGCACCGAGGCATCATCATCGTCTTCCATGATCGCGGCAAAATCGTGAATACTTCCCGTAGTCATGGAAGAAACATTATCATAGTCTACCGTGATTGCAACCAAATCTATGATATAATCAGATGACAACGTCATCGTCTCCCACGTTCAAGTCCCAATCCCTAATATCTCCCGTGACTCGTGGTGACGGGAAAATAATTTTTTCCCTAAATCGCGGCAAAATCCTGAATATATCGCTCGCGGAAAAAGAAACCTCAATAACGTCTTTCGCAATCTGGCAATAGCGACAAAATATTTAACGTCTCCTGCGGCCACAGAGACATCGTCATCATCACCTGCGGGGAAATGTTCTCGTCAATATCCGCGATCGCGGCAAAAACGTAGGCCTAATCTTTCAATTTCATGAGCGTGATCCTCGCTGACATAAAGCTGACATAACTTTCAATCGGGCATTATTGTATTGAGAACTGAGAAAATCTGCTCGAGCTTGATTTTCTAACTTAGTAATTGATCTCTCAACCTTGTAGGCCAGGCACTGCTCCGCTTGAAAATCAACATTATTTAAAATCAACAGTTTCCAATAATGGTAATTCTCATATAAATTGTTTTGATAGGGGGTCCGTGTGGCTGAGCCTGTCACACAATTGCGGGCCTGTGTCCCAGTAAAATTTCTCGAAAAATTCCGGTCAAGGCTCAGGCGCCCCCCTTGCTCGTGGGCTCCCCCGCACCGCGGGCCAGTTATCGTCGCCACTGTCTGCACACACAATAAGAAAAACAACTTAAGTAGATTCCTTCCCCTTATAATTATTCTTCATGGATTTTTTTATTAAAGATAAAAAAAAGTACGTAACATATTTTTTGTAAATTCAATCCCTATCATCTCATGTAAGCAAGTATTTCTGGAATATAAGGGCTGTCCATTAAGTAAGTAATGTTTTTAAATATAACAGACTAAGGAAGAAACAAATATAGCTTTTATTTCATTTAATTAATTCTTAAGCTAAGCTCTTGGATTGTATTGCAGTTGTCATTTAAATTTATGCATTTTAATACTATGTTACATGCTTTTTTGATTCCTTTGAATTGATCTAATTTGATTTGTTAAGCTAGCTACAGATCCAATTTTTTACACTTGAAAAATATGGAATTTTAGCGAATTTCCCTATAGGGAAGTAGCTATTACCGTAGGTGGCACGGTAAGACCTAGGCCCGGGACCGATTTACTTTTCATTTTGATGTCCCCAGAGGCCAAAAACACCATTCGTTAAAATTGTTATATATGTATATATATATACGTCCGTGAACGCGATAACTTGAGTAATTGTTGTCCGATTTTGATGAAATTTGGTTTAAAGGTGTAATGCGGGATAAACTTGAATGAGTTCGCGAACCAGCATGATCGGACCATGGGAACGGGGTTTTATGGGGTAAAAAATGGTTTTTCTCATTTTTGACCCTTAAAACATAAAATTTCCCAATATCTCTATAGACCTTTTTAAAGAGCTTAAAAAAACAAATAATTTAGTATATCAAAGTGTTTTTGTACGGTTATTGGTAACGGAGAAAATTAAAAAAATTGTAAATTTAAAATTCTCATGTTATTCTTATTGAGAATATTGTAAAATGTTGTAGTTTGCTTGTTTATGGATATATTTGGATCAAACTTGGCAAATTTATTTATTTTGTATTAGGCTATTAATATTTTACTAAAAAATACACTTTATAAGTTTCCTTGTAGCAGCAAACCTAGGTACTCGTTAGACCTAATGTTATTTAAATAGATTAAATTGAAAATCAATTCAGACAAATGGAAATTCGCTTAGTCGGTAGGTTTGCTGCGACGGGAGTATTTTATTATTTCAACGTCAATTTCGGTTTAAAATATTTCCTTAATATTAAGAAATTTAACTCAAGTTCAAAATACTGTTTATAGAAAAAGTGAACTATGTTTGATGTTTTTAAAAGTAAATAACAAAAAACTAAGAATGTAACCCAGATTTTGTTGCCATTTTAAGCATAACTAGTGTACATGTTGCTCGAATTCGAGCAATTGTAAAGTATTACAGGATTTGCAAACCAATAACAATCATACTTTTCAACAAAAACACACCTACCTTCCCTGTAGCAGCAAACCTAAGTACTCGTTTTAAAATTAACTTAATGTTATTTAAATAGGAAAAAAATGACCATTTTAAGGGAGTAATTAATCTTTGTATTAATTAAGCCAGGTAAATGTAAAATTCGCTTAGTCTGAAGGTTTGCTGCGGATACACAATTTTAATAACAGCAAAGATTGAAGAATCTGAATTATTACTTATATCCATGAATTTATCTAACAATTATTTCTTGTAAAATATTATTACAGCAGTTCAAAAATATTGAAAAAAACTCGATCAACAAATGATGTTGAAAGAATTCCATACTAATGACATTAACATATAGTTTGACAGTTCCATTTAACATTTAATCAATGTTAAATGTTTACATTCGGGCATAGACAAAAATGATTCGGGCGAGTGACATATTTTATTAATGTTTATGATCCCTACCGTTCCTGTTCTAATAATCATGCAGTATTTAATATGTTTGAACCAGCTGTGTGGAATTGTGAAATCAAAATTAATTTGACAGTTAGTTCTGCTTGTTTACATTTTTAAATTTTGTGGGTTTGTTCTTTGTTACCATGGATACCATCAATAAATATTTCACTCTTAATTTCTGACAACAGCTGGAGTTCCATAACACATTTTGTTTCCCATGTTAATCTTATGGATGAATACGAAACTTTAAAGGGCCCCAGGGCCTCACTCTCTAATTATTTCCTTAAAAAGAAAGTTTCCTGCACAACTTCACGTTACGCTCTTTCCAATGACACCAAAAACATGTCAATTGGTTCAGTAGTTTCGGAGGAGTAATTGTCACAAAAAACCTGCTTGCGTATTAAATAAGTATATATAGATTAATACCCAGAATTTTTTTATATTTTTATTGTCTTGAAGTTTCAAATCTGTTCAGAAAACTTCAAACGTTCATCTAGTGCCCCCTTTGATTCCTCGTATTCTGTAAGTATGTTGATTTTCAACATCTAATTTACTAACCATGTACCTTTTCAAAATGAGTTGGATTTCAGCAAGCTTACCAGAAATAATTAGAGTCCTGGGGTTATAGATACACCCACAATGATATCAATGCATTTTTGTTCCAGTATCATAGTATCTATCCTCCGGACTCTAAATTTTCTCAGGTAAACTAGCTAAACTTTACTCCTTTAACCACTGTAAAGCTGGGTTTACACGATGCCAGTAGGTAAGACAATTGTTAGAAGACTACTGACCAGCATGAAATTATTTGCTTTAAGTAAACACTTCAGGCCAAATTGCCTTGCCAACTGCCCTCACAATAGCCCTAAAATTCAGATGTCTCTGGGAGTAGACTAAGGACAACTAGCCTTCAACAATTCCACAATCATGGGATGACAAATTGGCAAAGACAACTGTCATCTGTGCGTGAACCCGACTTAAGTATGATGTTTAATGTCTTATTACCGTGCCTTAGACCTTTTTATAAAGGGATGGATTTTAGGTAGCTAACCAGAAAACTTAGAATCTATGGGCTTATACACCCTAAATGATATCCATGAAATATCTTCTTAGTTTAGGAGTTTTTTCAGTAGATAGCTTCTGGACCCTAATTTTCTCAGGTAATCTAGCTAAATTATACCCCATAAAAAGTCCTTAACCAAACATAGATTTTTACTCAAGATTTTCCCTATGTTTCAGGCTCTGAGCAGTCTATCAGCTCCTTCACAACAAGGGTCCAACTCTCTCAATGCCAACACGACAACACCGCGAGAGCTCGGCAACATGCTGCGTAGAGAGAGTGGCAACCCTGTCACAGCCACATCGCAATACCAGCAAGTGAACCTTGGGTAGCTCAATGTTGCTTACTCCTTTCTCTTACTTATTCCTCTATGTGTTCCAATTTGTTCTAAAAAAGACACATATACAATATGTCCAGTAAGTAATATGCCTAACTCCGGGGAAAAGTTGTTGGCTCAAATGAAAGAGAAAACGATGAATTAAATTTTTATGAAAACACGTTGTGTTAAACAAACACACCTTTAAGTGTACGGTATTTAGGATTTTAAACGTAAATAAAACAAAAGACCACCATTTCAATTTGACATTAACATTGCCATAACTTGTTTAATTATTAACTAATTTTTACAACCAATGTAAATGTTTGGATTTTTGATTTACCAAATAAAATTATGAGTTGTTTATTTTAATGAAATTTGACTTTGACAAATTTAAAAGGTTGCCATTTTGAAATTTTATTTGATATTTAGTATGAAATCTGTAATATTGCTTTAAGTTTAAATTGTGCATTTTCTTTTCTTTAATGTGTCAAATTTCATTCAGCATTTAATATACCATCTTGGAAATACATTGAAAATACTTAATACTTAAAAAATGCTTTGTATTTGGTTGATCATTCAAAATACTAGTTAAATTTTCATTTACAGAATCAATGTGTCCTACTAAAAATGTAGTAGAGAGATGAGAAATTAAAGATTAATCAAAATCATAATTTGATTGTAAGGCTCATTAACGTTTCAAAACTATTTCCCCACTACACTAAATCTTTTCTTTAAATGTTACTGACTTAGGTTTTCTGCAATGTTGCTTTAAATGTTTTCATACATTGTCAACGTACCCTCACTCACATTATACATAAAAATATCATACAAATTCATTACACACAATGCATCATTTATGGTACATCCCTAACACATATTATGCAACATATTTTCGTGTAAATGTTTACCAAGGCTGTTATGGATATTTTGATCATAAAACGTCACAATCTCTTTTTGATGTTATAAGTGTTTTCTACCTTTTCAACCAGTACCTATATGAGTGTTTCTTCCGAGTTATCTAATCCCCTAAATAATAATGTTCTTGCGTGTAGCATGGATTTGTTCTTTTGGTCTTTGTTATTAATGTTGTTGGTCTCAAATTTAAAACAATCTAAATGCAGTGTTTTAAGGTCCTGCGGTTTTGCATAAGATAAAGACAATGTATTGAAGCTATTGCTACTTTAAATACCCCCGCCGCAGCAAACCTGCAGACTAAGCGAATTTCAACTTGTCTGATTACATTTTTACTAAAATATTTCCATAAATAAGACATATTATTCCCTCTTTAAATAACATTAGATTTAACAAGTGCTTAGGTTTCCTGCTACGGGGAAGGTAAAAAGTGTTTTTGACCATACATCAATAGTATATGATGAAATAAATACATTTGCCAAATGTTATCAATATATACCCATAAACAAGTAAACTACAACAATTTTCATTTTCTCCATAAGAATAACATGGGAATTTTTAATTACACTATTTTTGAATTTTCTCCATGAACGTTAGGCATACAACAGCGCTTCAATATACTAAATTATTTCTTTTTTTAAGCTCTACAAAACGTTTTTGAAAGAAATCGCAAAATTTTTTGTTTTTAGGTTCAAAAATGGTAAAAACCCATTTTTACCCCATAAAACCCTCCATAATCCCCCGTTCGCATGGTCCGATTATGCTGGATCGCGAACTCATTTGAATAAACGTAGGTTTACACGTTTCTACCAAATTTCATCAAAATCGGATCATTTTTGCTCGAGTTATCGCGCTAACGGACACATATATATATATATAAATATATATATATATATAAATATATATATATATAAATATATATATATATATATATGAATTTTAACGGATAATGTTTTTGGCCTCTAGGGACCTCAAAATGAAAAATTAGATCGGTCTCGGGTCCAGGTCTTACCATGAGTACTACGGTAATAGCTTATTCCCTATATGGGAAATTCGCTAAAAAGAGTATAAATATAAATGAAAATTTGTTATATTCCCCTAAGTAAGGCGGACAATTTCATGAAAAAAGGTAAAACATTGTGTCTGTGAAAACATAAACCTTTAATGAGAAATGAGAAAGACAGTGGTTGTCAATGTAGTCAAGTAAAGCAATTATTTGCACCAGGAATAATGTACACTATATGGAAATAGTTTGATCAAATGTCTTCTGTAATGTTGCAAAATTTCTGTTGGCGAAATAGAAATCAAATCACTAACAACTGTTGCAATTTCCATTGGACCTTCTCCTTGATTTATTTGTCATGTAAATCCATAGCATAATTGTTTGACCAATTCTAATGCAATTTTATTACATACAATATATGATTTCAAATGCATTTATGTTGGATATCAACTAACCTAAATGTTATTAATATTAATAAAATATTCCAAAGCCAATAGTTCTTTAGGTCAAGACCTTACTTGAAGGTACAAAAACCATTTCGTACTGAAGCTAATTGGACAAAACAACCATTTTAAGCAATACTAAAGTACCTTGATCAGCCTTTGACCTAAAGAAGCCAATTTTGATGTAGGAAAATTGTGAATGAAATAACAATACAACGTAGCGGTCATCCAACTCGTTGTTTGTCCGCAGTTACTCGCCCCAGGCACGACAGCCAGAGTTAATGCAGGGTGTGCCAGGTAGCGGGGGAGTCCCGGGGGCGCAGTACCCTCCCGCCTCCTTCAACCCATTCATCTACGGCAACGATGTTGATTCTGTAGACGTTGCCACCAGGGTCGCCATGGTATGTCTAGCAATTGGTTTTGTCTCGTTCCCATTGTTCATTCGATTATTGATGGGTAATGCAGGAGAAACCCTTTTGTTCAGATTCGTTTGTTTTATCTTCGCTTTGAACAGTCACAAGTGATTGACTCTTGATGCCAATTTAACGATAGTCATGTTTTAAAAGGGTCACAATCCGTTTATCTAGAATACAACTCTAGACAGGTGTAGATTATACAAGATTATTGGTTCATTCCTGTATTGTTTAGTAAAGTAACATTTAGTAGTAAGTTTAGTAATAGTTAAGTTATTTCCTATTTTGAGAGGATGAAAATCTTAGCTTTTTTAGGATCTATGTTGCCTCCCTTCTTGTAAGTCTCTTCAAGTCTCCTCAACCAATTGGTTATTTCATCTTAATCTTTGGTCTTCCCACCCAGTGGGTGTTTGAATTGTGATTGACCTTTCCACACAGTCCTTACAAGAACATTGTTTTAGTGAACTCCAAGAAGTCCAAATCAAGAAATGTGATTTTTCTTGCCTAGTAGCCACTTTGTGTTTTCAGGTGAGGTTTTTCAACTCGCAGAACCTCCTGGCCAACTTCACCGAACACACTCGAACACTGCGGCTCTACCCTCGACCTGTCGTTGCTCTGCAGACCAACAGCTTCTTGCGCTCTCGACCCAGAGCCTCGCCTTTCCTCAACAAGTTCGCCAGAACGCAGGTACGCTGTGTAAAGTATTTGTCCTCTGTAGCAGTAACAACAATTTACACAGTTTACAAATCTTGCCAAGTTATTTAAAACAAATAAGCTAGCATCGAAGATATACGGTGTATATTATTTCTCACTCGTGTAAACTTTAGCTGCAATCAAATGTATTGAGAGTAGTTATTGATTTATATTATAGATACAAATGAGGTAAGTCTTATACATTTTGGTGAGTCACAATAAAAGTTAAGCTAAGCCAAGATCTTACATGACTATATTTTATAGGACTGATAACAAAAAAGATACATAGACCTTTATATATTTTATTTCTCAGTCTTGGTGGCAAACATAATTGTAGCTAGTTGTTGTATTTCTTATTGCTATCAACTGTCTAAATGCCCTCAGGTACAACACCAACATTTAACTGCTCTTTGAAATTGTAGATTTTTTTTATGTTGGCCGGCCAGTTTAAAATTACTTTTTGCTCTTCTAGGCTGTAGAGTTCTTGGCAGAATGGGCCTTAACACCAAGCAACGTTGCGTTTCTACGAGTTCACACTGGTATGTTTGACCCGTCCGTCATCGGAGACAAGGCCAGGTGGTTTTCCCATCAGTTGGAACCGATAAATTTTCCTGTCTGGGATGACAACAGCTCACTGAGTGGTGCCCTCAAGTATCTACCACAGCAAGAACAACCTACAGGTGATTACTATGACTTTTCACGGCGAAGAATGATTTTAGATGTAATATATGCTGGATAACAACATTGATAACCCAAATAATCATAGATTGTTACATGCCTCCATTTAATTATCTATATATATAAAAGGCAAAGCCCTCACTGACTCACAAACACTTATGATTTTTCATATTTAAAAGGAAATAATGAATCTTAACAGCTGTTTCAAATAAATGAGTTGGTTCTGTTCTATGATGTTCAATAGCATTAAAGTTACAAGGATTACCAACAGGGTGCAGCACTATTATATTTTTTAAATTTATGACAACAGCTAATTTGCAACCAAAAGGTGAGTGAGCGTAGCGAACGAACTTCAACCTGGAGGCGAGTTAGCGTAGCGAACGAGCTAACCTGAAGGCAAGTGAGCGCAGCGAACGACCTCCAACCTAAAGGTGAGTGAGCGTAGCGAACGAACTTCAACCAGAACGTGATTGAGCCATGAGAACGAGCTCACTTATGAAGTTAAACGGGGCAAAGCCCGCGGGTACAGCTAGTAGTGTATATTTTGAAACAAAAACATTTACAAACATATTTTTGACATGTCTTTTCTAATCTTTTGGGAGGTAACTGTGTCATTGAACTGGCAAAAAGTAGTTCCCTATTTATTCCAGTTTAATCCAAAGACCAGGATTGGACAGTCTACTTTATCCAAGGGGGTTTACCTACTAGCTTGAATATTTATTTTACTTTTAGATGAAAGTGGTTCGGACTCAGAAGGAGCAGACAGCACAAGTTCGTCCTACTCCTCTCTCAGTGATTTTGTCTCGGAAATGGTGTCTTCAGATCTCTCTCCCTGTGAGTTATTTTTACAATTAACTGTCTTGAGAGTTACATTTAGTTTAGCTCGTTAGTGCTTCACATTATAGAATTATTTGATTGATTTGTTTACGTACCAATGTTTGGCTGTTTTTGTAACACTGTTATATTCAGGAGTCAATTTGAGACGACTTAATGAAATAAGTTGTGAGAAATCATGAGTTAAAAAAATAATCATCTATCAAAGGAAAGATTATAGAATTGTATACTTTTCTTTAGTAACGTTGCCAAATAAATACTGATCCCCGTTCCATTTTGCTGACATTTGCTGTGTTATGCCACAATTTTCTTGAAGAGATGTTGGGTGATAAAGTGTATAGTGGAGAGAGGTTAGCTTTTGTAGGGTTGATGAATTCCATTACCTCAATAAGGCTCTGGTTATGTTTATTTTAAATCTCAAATTCGTTAATTAATATTCAAAATCCAGTGGGACCGAACTGTTCTAGTGGTAGCGTGGAGCTTTCGGTCTCCAAAGTCCCTGATTCAAATCTCGATCCTCTGTGAGATAATACTGAGACCCTCTAGGCCTAGCCTGGAGTAATGTGTAAAACTGTTCCGGGCTAGAAACTAACTTCCTAGAATGTAAGTGGGACATGAGAAAAAACTCCGGAATTATCAACTAAGTATTCAAACAATTCCGTGGCAATGATATTGTTGCAAATAATATCATGTACATTTCATTCATGTTCTGTCTAGGTTTTACAACTCCGGAGGCAGCTCCAGTGGGCATGTCCAGTGCAGTTGACGTACAGGCTGTGTATCATCCCCCCTCCGTACTACAGGTGCCGGGAGAAGCAGAGGTTCCTGCCAGCTCCCACCACTCCCCGGTGTCTTCCTCGGCGAGCTCTGAGAGCGACCTTAGTCCCCAGGAACTGCGGCCTGAGATGGTGAGTTGACAGATGCATTTCAAAATAAAAAAGTATGTTTCACTTAGATTTTTTGTTTTTTCACGTAATTGATACAAAATCGTTAGTGTGACTCACAAAGGTTTTGTAAATATTTGGATAAGCCGTTTGGAATGTCTGGATTCTTGTTTGCTATGGTAAAACAGATTCATTTATTAGATGTAAATATCTCAATTTTTATTTTAAATGCTAATGTTTGATCATTTAGAGGCCCTTCACTAACACCGAGTAACTAAATAATTTCACATACCTACCTCAGTATCAAGATAAAATTCTCATAACAATTTTAGTTTCATGTTTCATATCTTAGAAAATAGAAAAACAGGTATTCAATTTATGGTTTTTGAAATCAGCCTTTTTCATGGATTTATTTATTTTTATAAGCCCTTGTTGGTATATGAGTTTTATTCCTGCTATTTCTCTCTAAAAATCACTGTATTAGTAATTTATATACTATGTTGATTTTTAACACCTAAACCACTTAGCCATGCACAGAGTTTTACTTGAAACCTTTAAAAGTCCCTTACCACAAAATAATAAATTAATTTGCACAAACCACTGGATCATTTATTTCTTATATACATCTATAGAACATACATACATAGAACATCTATAGAAAAAAGACTTGTATTATAAATAGGGGTGAGAGTAATATTTCTTTTCTTTAACTTGTGACTTTTGTTCATAAAATGTCATTGATACATTTTTTTACCAGGCAATATTCAGTGTCGTGCTAACAAATCTTTTCTTTTGATAATAGATAGGTTAAATTAAAAGCTTGCTTTAAAATATAAGTAAAATAAACCAAAACTCATTTAAATTCTGAAATTAAAATCAAAATCCTTCTATGGAATCAATTGGAGCGTAAAATTTATATTATCAGTATTTAAATTTCAAAGTTTTACTGGTTTTAACAGACAAAAGAATTCTTGTACTTAACATTCTGCTACGGTATACTAGCACATTCGTAGTCCAGCATCGATCTAAAGACATTTTTAACACTTAACACTTATTAAGCTTTACGGGCTTCACGTTGCACAATTGGCCTGATTTGTTAAAAAATAACCTGTCACTAACCCTTTTGGCATTCTGTCTTAGCAGTGTTTCTGCCCAAGAGACAGATGAAAAAAATGTACAACAGAATCTCAGTTTTGCCCTTGTATGTTTACAATAGATCGATGAAATATTTCTTCTGTTTGGGCTAGGAATCGGCCTGAGGGATTTGTTGGGGTCAAAAATGATTATCGGGCCAAGCCGAGCGTATATTTCACCGTGTGCAAAAGAAAGAAACAAACAGGTTAAAACTGACTTATAATGTAACAACCTAGAAATAGATTTTACTTATCCTCTAAATTGACTTAACGGCCTTAACGCCAAAGTAACTTATCTAAAATACTCTCAACACAACAACTTACCAACAATTGCAACCGAACCAGCAGTGGATATCTTGGTGAACGCTGAGACAGGTAGGTCGTAGTTGTAGTGTCACTCACCACTGTATAGCCACAGCTTGTAGCGTAGTTAGTAGCGTTCTGTGCAGGAAGGTGGAGAGTCGGACAGTAACTCTACGCCACGGACCGTCGTCAGCAACAAGTCGTCAGCTCAGACACTCAGCATGGACTCGGATGTCTCGGTGGTAGAATCTCCTCGACCTTCTTCCACTACCTTTACAACCCCTCGTAGACCCATCCCTGTGAGTACACAAAGTCTGTGAGTGTAAAGAAACTTGGTGGAACAATATAACACCAACACCAAGGAACAACATTTTCTTTTTCTAATGATCATAATTCCTATGAAGTTTTCCATTTTCCTTTAACAGTTAAATGTATTAAAATGCTTAGACCAATTATTTATTCAAAGCAAAAACAAAGATAAATTATTACACAAACAAAAAACCTTTCATTACGCCCAAATCTATCAGATTCCATTACTTCTACAGCCATAGTTTGGCATGGTTTATATTGAATTTTTATTTGATTTTGATTTTTTTGTTAATGCCTGATTTGTTTTTATACTGTAATTTATCTTTGACTTGTGTTTTTGCAGCATGTAATCAACCTTATTGACGTATCCAAATGCATGTACATGTCTAACGGAATAAAAATATTGATTCTTGATTTTTGAAGGAAAATATAACTTTATTTATAACAGTATAGATTTGTTTTGTTTATCCGGCATTCTGTTATTTAGCCTACTGCATTATCCAATTAACCCCACAAGTATCTAATAGTGAGATTGTGTATTACTTCCATAAGTCATGAATAAACTCTAGAATTTTGTACAACACCGTTTCCTACCCTGTTCTCAAAAGATCCAAACAAGATTTCAGGCCGCGAGGCTTCACCCGGCTTATTTTGTGTTAGTAAACAAACACTTTAAATTATTACAGAGTGTAAATATATCTAGTGCTGAAAGACATCTATCATTTTACCTGTACAAGATTCATACACACAAGATAAGATTTCATTTCAGATTTAGATGTTTTCTAAAGAATGAATTATGCCAGGTACCCCCGATGAGTCCTGGGCCGGCCAGACAGATGAGTATAGGCAACGTGCTGTCCCGAACTGCCTCCGTGTCAGGGTCTCCTCCAGGAGTGACTAGACAAGGGTCCCAGAGTAGTCTGATAGACCATCTCACATCGCAGGCCAAGGAACTGGTCAGAGAGACACGACAAGGGAGTCAGGAGGGACTGCTGGCCCATGTGGACAAGGTAGGTGGTATTTTTGACACTGATGGAATAGTTATATTCTAGCACATGTATAAAAACTATACATAGTTATTTGACAGAGTCATAATGTTATTTAAAAAAATATTGTGGACATTTTCCATCACCATTAGTAAAATATCCCGCAGCAAACCTGCAGACTAAGTGAATTTCCATTTACCTGACTGGATTTTATGTTTTTAGAGTCATAAATGGGAAAAACCAATTTTTACCCCATAAAACCCCGTTCCCATAGTCTGATCATGCTGATTAGCAAACTTGTTAAAATAAATGTAGGTTTAACATGTTTGTACCAAATTTCATCAAAATCGGATTATTTTTGCTAGAGTAATAGGGCTAACGGACACACACACACACACATATATATATATGTACTATATATGAATTTGAACGGAGGGTGTTTTTGGCCTCTGGGGACCTCCAAAAGAAAAAAAACAAATCGGTCCCGGGTCTAGGTCTTACCATGAGGCCTACGGTAATAGCTTATTCCCTATATGGGAAAATCGCTAAAACAAAGTTTGCGAGACATTTGGGATCTGGAATTAGATCCTATCCTCAGATGAACAAATACTTAACAGATAACAAGATTAGTATAAAAATCCAGCAAAAGCTGGGAAATTAGCCTACAAATAAAACCACCCATAGAACTGTATATTAGTAGTGCTGTAAACAAGACTGAGGTCACACTTACGGTTAGGTTGACTTACACTTACCACTGAAGCAATGGTGGCAGGATCCGGGAATTGTGTCAACCAAAATCAGATTCTATACCCTGAAATGTGTTGAAAACTTTTGTACTAAATTTGTCGGTAAACATTTTTTCAATAACAAACTTGATTTCACCAGTATTAATTTTGCACACTATTTTCAAAGTGGTGGGCATAGTTTTAACAATTGCACTAAGAAAATGTGGTAAAACTTTAGAACTTCTAAATGTTACCGGATCCATTTTACATACCCTCTTTTTACTACAAAGCTTTTCAGTTCTCAAGTTATGTTATAGCTCTAATTTTGGCAACATATTAATAAGGGCTTTAAGTATAAGTATTTAAATAATGTAGGTATTATAAATCTACTATAAACAATAATCACACACAATAATGTAACTATGGTGTATTGGGCTGCATCAGGAATATAATAAGGTATATTCAACACAACAAACATGTTTGCATAGAACAATGTAGTATTTTACTTCCAAGAAGTGTAGTATTTAGAAATGCCACTTATATGCTTTAAGCTTTAATCAAGGAATGAGTATTTTGCAACTGCATAGAAAGAAAGGATGCATTTTTAATGTCATTTGGCACCATCATGCGGCTTGGGAACTTGAGAATATTTTAGCTTTTTATATTTGATATAAATAGAATTCATGGAATGAAACAGTTATTCATCATTTTTATGCATAAAAAAATAAGTTCAATGCTTCTTGCCTTAAGAGTACCAAAAACTAGGGTAGTATAGGTGTTGACAAAGTGCCTCAACTGAAAACAATAATTTTTGTTTAGTCAGTGACATGTAATTTAAAGCAATCTACCTATAATACTTTAAGTTTTCACCATCAGATCTAAACTGTGGCTGAAAAACTTCTGTTGGGTGAAATTTGTTCGGGTAGTTTGTTAGAGATAATGCTTACGCAAAAGATTTGTAATTATATTTTAAGATAAACCTTTTGCTCGTTTAGACTTTCTTCAATTTTAGTTATCTACAGTAGACTCCCTCTTATCCGGACACCTTTTAACCTGATTTTACTCGGAATAAATGACATCTCTTTAACCGGACAATATTTATCAGCACATCGGTTTAACCGGGCTAGATCGGCAGGAAGTGGGCGGTACTGAAACGACTGTTCTCGTAAAAAAGATTTGAGATCAGTAATCACGTGTCTAAATACAATGCTCTCCTAAATTTAAGTCAAATACTGTATACATATATTTAAAGGGTCTGTTTTAACGAGTTTTTGGGGAAGTTGGTTTAACCGGAAAACCCGTTATCCAGACTGGCCTCGGTTCCAAGGAGTCCGAGGGAGTCTACTGTATATCATAACGTTTGTAATATTTGTAGCGATTGATTACAGTTTCTATTTTGAATTTTTGTCCAAACAGTTTAATGAACTTGCCTTATATTATTTTTTGTCAGTTATTTTTTATCATCCATAAGTGACACCACACATCCGTATCAAACATTGTTATTAATTGGTAAACTTTAAGCCGCGTTAGGAGGCCAGTTGGTGGTTAGGTTGTTGTCTCAGGTAACTTGTATTGCATTAGAGACAACATGCAAGTAACCTGCCCCATACCCTGCCTGCTCTACTGGCCTCGTTAAAAGCGGCTTTACTTTAAGTTTTTTATGTCTGTGTTTATGATGACTTTTCATAACACCAGTAAAAGAACATTCATAGCTTGGTATTTAATTTGAAAAAGTATCTTTCAGTTGAAACCATTGGTAACCTAAACAAGGATTATGTCTGCTAGTCAGAGCTGTATTTAGAATCTATGAGACCCCAAACCAGTGTGGTCCCACTATTCTGACTCTTCGATGGAGGAAGCTAAGTGGGCTTAGAAAGGTTATTGCTTCAATTCAATGAACTCGACCCTTTGTTTTCGACGATCCTATCGGCAAATAGATATAGTAGAATAGCTATAAAAATTCCAAACCTTTTTAATTCAGGTCAAGCCAGAAATGTTGACCTGCGGGTCAGGCCAAAATTAGGTCAAGTTAAAATCAAGATCCTTTGGAAAGTACTGATTAAAAAAAATTAACATTTAAGCTCTAATCGGTTCAAAAGACTTGCATCACAGCAAAATGGTCAACGTCTCCTGTGGTCACAGAAGAATAGTGAACATCTTTTGTGGTTGCGGAGACTTAATGACTTAATTATTGTCTCATGCAACTGTGGCAAAATTGTGATTTCCAATCGTGCAATCTACACAGATGCTTTCGGCAATTGTGAGTGTAATAGCTTGTTTTAAAAATTTAACCCCTAAATGATTATTGTTTGGATAAATTTTTTATGAGAAAAACATTTCCCTTAAGCCCTTAAGAAAGGCCACCTCTAGGCCATAGCCCCCGGCAAACGCCATATTCGCCATTAGGGAAATACAACCCTGCAAATAGTTAGAAATAACTACAAAATAGCAAACGCAATATATTATGAACTATCGAAGCCACCAAGTTATGTGGTTTGCCACTTGAGTCCATTGCAATCTTAAAATCAACACTGGTGTAGCATTGTGGAACTTACCAAAACATTATTTTTTGATTCACCAAGAAATCTTAAATGCCAAATCATTGGATGGTGAGTTTGTTTTACATAACTTACTAGAAGTGTTTATTTTACTAATTCACTGGTGTTGTGTATTGGGCAGCTGACCCTGACAGCCAAGAAGGCAGCCGGGGAGGCTCAGAAGCAGGCCATGGAGGCTGGGAAGACGGCTGCCGGAGTCAGCAAGAACACGTTAGAGGACCTCACTTATGTGGGCAAAAGCACCTTTGGGGATCTCACCAAAAGTGCCAAGGAAGTAGCGTCAAAGAAGGGACTTTTGAAGGTAAGCGTATTTTTATCAGTAATATTTTATTCTTTTATTATGTACGTTATCCGTGCGATTATGTTAATCACTTACTGGGACAGTGATGTACTTTGCAGATATTTTGAATATGAAAGTAGGGTGTCAGAAGACTTATGTAGACTTGTTTGTTACTAAATACAGTAGTATCTTCAGTTTTGATTATTTATTAACAACCCTTTAAGTGCTCTAGAAACTTTACCCTATGCAATACTGACTAGTACTAGATGATTTGAACAAATGTTCTAAGGTCTAGAGAAAAAGCCATATCCCCCTTGTTTTCAATTTTAGGTAATAATTTTATTAATTTTACTAAAAAATACCAGTACTAAATGATGATGAATTTGAATTTTGGCTCTCTATGAAAGTTTGTTTTGTAGTGTAAACAATAGTAACTTACACTGATCTTTGGCATTATTTGTGTCCTACAAACACCAAATAATTCTTCTAATGAACTACTAGAAAACCATTTACAAGAAAAATAAACACTGAAACAGAAGTCTAGAATTATTTTATCTTTAAGCTAACAATAGCGTAAATCACAAAGTAACATCAAAAGATTACAAAGTATAACAGATGGCCATTCCCAACAGTAAAGGAACTAAAGGAACTGGCAATCAACAATTTGAAGCATTTGGATTGAGCCAACATCCTTGCATGCTACATGGAATACACAGAGTTACTTGTTCTGCGACGCTCGCTCATAAGCCAATAACTATATTTTCTCTATGAGCCCAAACAAAACCCTGCCGATATTAAAATCAAAACATAAAGTATGTGTAACATTTGTAACATGCACTGCTGGGTTTTAATTATTTATCCTTGGATTCTGACTGATTTCAGGCTCTGGGAGACTCCAGGGAGAGAAGGTCATCTGCAGATGAGCAACAGCAGACGTCGTTAGTTCAGCCCGACCTCAGCAGAACGACAGGCAGGGACTTCTTCAGCAACATCAGCAGCGACCTCAACGGCATTGCCGCCCAGACCACCAGCATCTTCAGCGATTTGTTTGGTAAGGTCGACCTGTAAAACCACAAGGAAATCTAATGTTAGAAATCGGTTAAGAAGGGCAGAACAGAGGATTGTAGGGACATTTTAATGAGATAATAAAGTTGAACTATAGTAAGATTGAAGCAATATCACACAGTTTGGATAAGTTTATAAAAGGGTTGTATATTTGAAAAGAGAGAAAGGTTAATGATTTTTTAGTTTTTTTGCAAGTATTTTTTGTTTTTAAAGTGTAGCGTTCAGCCAGCTTACCTGAAGTATTTTGAGTCCAGGGGCCAACATATACACAATAAAAGTTAACAATAACTAACACATCTTACTGACTTCTTTACAGAGTGAACTGAAGATAAACATCTAGAAGACTCAAAGAAGTCCTATACTAGGACAAATTATCATTTTTATATTTTGTAACCCTATACTTTGTTTAAAATTAATCCCTAAACTCTAATTTTTAAGGTAAGCTAGCTGAACAATACTACTTCACTAACTTTTCAAACTATATAAGTAGTTTTGAGCGAACTTAAACCTTCTACTAACCCGGTGTGAAGGTTAGTTTCACATTATTACTTTTGCTGAATCCAGATCAATCTAAACAATTCAAGTTTACACCAAATCACCATTAAGATAGCAATTTGCAATAACAATTGAAAACTGTTTGGTGCACTACTAAAGGTGAACAAGTTTATTTAAATGACCATTTCTTTTAATCACTTCCAGTTTTGATTGTACCACTTGTAGCTAATTTTACAAACAGAAAAAAAATCAAAATTTATTTTTTTTACTCTGAGTACAAGAAATTTTTTTTTCTATCATGTAAGTAAGCAACAAATTGTGATGATTTAGATTTCGCACATATGTAGAAATACTCATTACTAATCTCAAAACACTCATTTTTTTGTACACAGAGCACATTATAGTTTTGTCTGTCCCCAAAAGTTGATTTCATTGTTGTGCGATTTTGAACAACTTTCTCCTAATTTGTAAGGATTCATAAAGGTAAGTAAGTCTCTTCCGTGTTGTAGGAAACAAGAGTCCAAAGTCCGCGCGAGACAACCAACCGCAGCAAGTGCCGCCTCCTAGGCCCAAAGAAAAAGCCCAACCCTTTGGACCGTTCCCGAAAGGTCAATTTTTGATGGACTTTCCGTGTAGCTTTTTGTTCTTTTCTTTTTCTGTCTGATTGAATGTCTTGTATCCCTCTCTCAGATTTCTTTAGTCTGTGTTAGAATTACAATATTTTACCAATATTCCCAACCAATCGATTCTTTCTTGTCAACTCATTGATATCATCGGATTTAACTGTTTACTATTAAGATTATGAAAATAATAACTGATATTGTCAGTTACAAAATAAGGTTTGGAATTGCCTCAACTATTAACCTATATTCTTTTGTAAAACTAATAGTAGTACTAATATGAAACCTTCCCCACTTGAAAAATTCCCAGTAAGCCTTGTTCTACGTCTGTACAATTTTGGTGTAATTCTTATGTGTTCATTTAATTTATTTAATTTTCACACATCAAATACAACATGTACACTCACAATATTTCAATAAATTCAGAGTCAAAAACACAATAAAGCGTGTGCATGGCGATAAATTTTGCATGTTTATTTTGAGTTGAAATCTAAAGAGCAATCTGAGGCGATATGTATGCTACCAACTTTTATAAATTAAATTAAAATGTTAATATGAATACCACTGTTTAAGACTTTAAAAATGTCTTCACCCATGAAAATGACAATGTTTTTATGCTGTTATAGCTACGGATTACCCTAAAACATTGAAACCTAGTGAATGCAAATCCTAGTATGTTACAATAATTGTTGAAAATAGAGTTCTAAATACTATTTGAAACCCCTTTACGGATGTTTTTGGACTTTATCACTAAATTCAAACAACTTTAAGGCAATAAACAAGTTTCTCATCAAAAGTGCTCGTTGTTGCATGCTTTTTGTCACTTGCACCTGACTATTTCTTCCAGCACGCTCTTTACTCGTTGGTTGTGTCAGTGTCGTCCGCAGGTTGTTGGTTGATCTGTTATCTAACATATGATTGTTCAGTCGGTGTGGTAGGACGCAAGACGTTTGTGGAGAGGTCACCACTGATACGTCACACGACATCGAGAGGAAGAGACGACCTACAACGACAGCAGAGCAACGAGAGGTCGTCCACTAACTCGGACAACCAGGCCTTCTTGAAAGATGTACGTTTTGCGTCAACCTAGTACAAAAACGCATTTACAAAAAATTATAGTATATTGATAAGCAGTGCTGGTTTTGTAAAAAATGAGGTGCCAGAACTGTAACCTATTTAATGTGATTAATACATATTTTTGCCAATATTTTTATCTTTCTGAAATAGAGGTACTGGAACCCCGCAAATCGAGAACTGTTGTTAACCATATTGTGTATAGTTAAATATGGATTCTGTTTGGAGTTAAACTACACACTTTGTTTATATTGTTAGATTACTCAGATTATAGCCTTCTAATTTTTATGTATAAGCGATATTAATTAATATTTAATACAAATGTAAAATCAAAATTAAATTACAAAACTCTCATTGTAAATAAATATGAATTGTAAATATAGAACAGGGCCAATAGGTTAATATCTAGAAATAGTAATCGAAATTCTCATTGAAAGAGTAGCATGACTTGTTTATTACATGTATTACAAATTCCTTTTTAAAGGTTGTAAGTTGTAACACAATTTATTACCGCAAGGTCTCTCTTGTCAAAGAGTAAAAGAAACTAGGAACTGCAGCTGTGGTTCATTATAAAACTCTAAACTTTGTTTCTGCAGTCTACTTTAAACTTTCTGGAAGTGATGTTGCATTCGCTACTCCAGCAGGTAAATTTTCTCCTCTACCTATATTTTTTATGGGTTTAAAGGCCATGGGAGTAAGTAAGTAAGTATATTTTTATAACCAATACCAGGTGGTGAGTCAAGTGCTGGAGGGAAAGGGTGTTCAATGGCTGAAGATGAACAGGCTGAAGAAACTGATGGAGGATGAGAGTTACCGCAACTTCATGGTGAGCAAACTGAACCGAACCTTGGAGCGCAAGATCAGCCCAGCCGACCACATAGATGATGTGGTAAGTAGTAGTAGATTTATGTTTATCATATGGTTACATGTGGTGGAGATCTTCAATGTCGAGGAAGTCTTCTAGTCTAAGAAATGTTTGTGTTTTGTATAGTTTCTGGTGGATTTCCCAATGGGGAGAAGCTGTTACCAAGGTGGCACAGTAAGATTTAGAAACGGAACTAATTTACTTTTTCATTTGGATGTCTCTAGAGGTCAAAAACACCATTGATTAAAATTTGATTATATTTTCAAACCAGCAAGATCGGGTTTTGGGAACGGAATGTTATGGATTCCCAATGAAATGGGTTTTACACATTTTATAACCAGTAAGATTTTGGTTATGGTAATGGAATATTATAGGTTTTTAAAAATAAAAATGGTTGTTAAAAATTGTTATCTATAAAACTTAGTACTGTGTACTTGTCATTACAATTACAATACATATAAAAAAACTTTTGACCTACTCTGTAGCAGCAAACCTAATGTTATTAAATAGGGAATACATCTACAGTAGACTCCCTCTTATCCGGACACCTTTTAACCGGACATCGGTTTAACCGGACTACACTCGGGGGAAATGACATCTCTTTAACTGGACAATTTTTATCAGCACATTGGTTTAACCGGACTACATCGGCAGGAAGTGGGCAGTACTGAAACGTAAGATTTCAGTCCAGTGATCACGTGTCTAAATACAATGCTCTCCTAAATTTAAGTAGAATATCACAGTAAACAGTCCGTTTTAACGAGTTTTTGGGGACGTCGGTTTAACCGGAAAACCCGTTATCCGGACTGGCGTCAGTCCTGAAGAGTGAGAGGGAGTCTACTGTAACATCAACATGGTAAAGGAACAATTTTAATGAAAATCTGATTAGAGCAAATGGAAGTATGCTTAGTTCGCAGGTTTGCCGTGGGGGGAGAATATTTTTTGGTTCAATCAATAAATCAATTTTCTTTATCGAGATTTCTTAAAAAAATACAATAGTGTCATATACATAGATTATAATTTGAATTTTCATCTTGCTTAACAATTTTGATCAAAGAATTCCTTTAGTGAGTAGAATGGTAGATCCATTAGCCAGTATTTGAGTCTCCTCTTTAAAGTGCGAGTCACATATTCATGTCATTATTACAGGGCCAAGAGTCCAACTTTTTCCAGTTTTTATTGCATAATGTACATTTTATTATTGCCTGTATTTTTGTGTAACCTGAACCAGACAAGTAAAACCAGTTATGCGTTTAGTTTTGAGATTCGAGATTCAGGATTTGGATTTTAAAATTTCTGTTTTTGTTTCAAGATTAGACATTTTTATTTTGGGTCATTACTAAAAACCAAGTTCATCATAGAATCAGAATGCTCAAGGTGTAGCCCGCAACTGCCATTTAGACAGTTCCATTGTGATTGCAGTGTATAAGCCAAGCGCAGTGGAAGGGTTGCCTGACTGTCTTGCAGGCGATAGTGAAGGGGTTGGAACAGACATACAGCAACAACGGACTTGGAGGAATGGCTTCAGTGTTCCAAGTATTGGAGATCGCTCACACCCACTACTGGACCAAGGATTTAGCAGATGGAGGGTTGGACCCTAGTATGCTGTCTCAGGTCAGTTAAAAAAAGGACTAGAGATACCAAATACGATTAATTTGCTAACTAAAATAAATCACATGTTGTGTGTGCTGTAAAATCATATTATTTATTAGAGATGGATGTGATTTGATTTTTAGTTCGAGACGAGACGAGATTGGATTTCTCATAAAATTTCGAGACGGGATTTCCCTTCTCATACACAACGGGAAATGCACATTCAACATTTTTACCTGATTTTTTAACATTGTTAGATGCCTGTTTGTTTAAATACAAAAAATGCAAACTTATGTTACATAATAATAATAGGCAAGAATATTGAAAAATATTTATTAAAAAAACATCAGCATAAAAAAAATTATATTAATTACGCCTAACTTATTAAAAATGCTTACGATTAGGAAACATGGTGATATCAGTTAGGATAGAGTTAAACTTATCCTGAAATAAAATAAATCATAAAATAAAAACAATATTAATTTGTATAAAATAGTTACTTGCTTTGGCTTTGTTTATAGTAAACATGCCTCACACTGCTTACACTTAACAAAACTTCTCATTTGATAAAATAATTAAAGTAATATTTACATGTAAAGAATTAATAATACATGTAAAGAATTAATAATATTTACATGTAAAGAATTAATTAAATAAGAACGCCTTCGCAAAGGAAACGCAACTACAGTGCGCGCTCCTGTATTGCGGGTATTGCATTGACTTTCTGCAGGCGTTTTTAATATTTTTTTATTCTCGTCTCGAAAAAAATCTTGATCAAAAGGAAATCTTGTTCCGTATAACGAGATTAAAAATTTCCCGAAATTTCGAGACCTGACCATCCCTATTATTTATCCTCTAGTTGATGTATTAGTCATCATATGTATATTGGTACTGAAGTATAAACATATACATGCGTAGCTCAACAGTTATTTTAAAAACACAACAAATAAAATATACAAACAAATATATTTTTATGTTAAAAGCACTTTTGATGGATGAACTATTGACAGTAAACGTCTTTCATCTTGAATCTTGTTGGTTCCAGTCGAGCAGCCCGTTTGGTAGCCGAGAGAATCTTCGTTCTCCGCAGAGTCCCAGCAGTTCCCCAGTGCCTTCTCATTATCCGCCTGATTCGTCACGCAAGTCTTCCCAAGGCAGTGCCTTCGGTCAGTATCATTGACTAAAAAACGTAATTTACATATCTTCTGCATTAAGGATAGTAGACTAACTTATGTGTTTTGTAGGATTCATACATAGACTGGTCATTATTTAGGCCCAATCAAAGATAGAAAGAATGAAAATGCCTTTTCTTTCTTTAATAAATTTTCTTTGTACAATAGAGTCCCGCAAACTCGGCACTCGATAACCCGACAGTCTGGATAACCTGGCCATCACCTGGCTCAGAAAATTAGTGATTTCTTGAGTTTGAGTTAAAGCCAGCTCAAGTCAAATCATTCTTAGCTCGTACCAAGGATTTGTTGTACTATGTCTGATGACTTGATACTAACTTCGTAATATAAATATAATAATAGAGGCAGTTAATAAGCTTAAAAATTGTATTGTTCTTATTTTTAACCCTAGTTCCCGATAACCTGGCATTTAACAAACTTGGCACCCTTCCAGTCCACATTACGCTGAGTTTGCAGGACTCTACTGTATTAGCGAACGCTGTTCTTTCTTTAATCAATTTTCTTTGCATTACCGAACAGCTATGAGTGAGAGATATTCCATGTCTCCTTTAGCAGTTCTCAAATTAAAGTTAAGCCCTTTTTAATACTCATATACCCCATAAGTATTGAATGTATAAGTTTTTAGGTAAAAAAGATATTTCAAATTAAGGTATCTGCAGTGACTCTCAATAACAAAATAAGGGTCTTGAGAAAAATATTCGTCATATGACACGGTTCCACCCCAAAGTCTCTGATATCGTTAGTTTCTTTTTTAGGGCCATTATCTGAAAATTTGCTGAGTTTGATGTTAGCTTAAAAGACAACGTGTTTGATCCCTGGAATATTCAAATACATCTGAACAGCTTTTCGTTGAAACACCACTGGCGTACTCAATACAAAAATGAAAACTATATTTGTTAGATATTTTTCAATAAGGGTCTTTGATTGACAGGGGAAAGCTCAGGTATCTACGGACAAAACCCGTCAGTTAGGCTGGTGCAAGAACCAGGCGAATCATCGGAACAAAATCCGCAATCAACGGCCGAAGTGTTCCGTGATCTGCTCAACCAGAAAAGACAAATGTTGCTCAGCAAACTGACATCAGTGGATACCGAGGTTAGTTAAAGTAGAATTAGTAGAATCTTAACTATTAGTTGAATCATCTGCATGGTTGTAATTTTTCTTCATGTTATCTTCATTGGTGTTATTCACAAATTATTCTTCTTAAAAACTCAAATTGCTGTTTATGAACATCAGGAATTATTATTTTGAACTTAAATTTAATCTTAGTTCAAAGTTCTAATCAAAACAACCACATAATTCTGATAGAACCTTTCCCATTCCATAACTAACTAGCAGATAAAACAATAAACATTTTTAGTTTTGTATGATGGTGTAAAATGTATGCCTTATACTGTAAGTAAACATTTCAAACTTGTCCGAACTTTAAGCTTAAAGGAATTATCAGTAAATAAAACACAGCTCAAACTTAACATGAACCAAAATTAATATTTTAAATACTAGGACATCAGCAATCTAGGAACTGAAAGACTAATATTACACATAAATATAAACCAAATTTAATTCATACGTATTTTAATTTTTTTTTTTTAGATAAAATAAGAATCTAATGAACCATCTAGGCATAAAATAAGTCACATCGCAGGAAATAACATTTAAAACATAACGAAATAATAACAAATCAAATTAAAATTAAAATTACAAATGATACAAAAATAAATAAATTTTAGTTGTGTGTTACGTAAAACCTAAATATTTTAACGAGCAACCACAACTATTTTGCTTACATTGTGTGTCCATGTTGTGGCATGTATTTGTGTTGTATATGGTTTTGTCATGTTGGCAACAGTAGCCGACAGCGGCCAGGCCAACCACCATCACCACCACACGCACCGCACAACGACAATGTAGATTTTTGGCTGTTCCACTGTAATGTAGTTTTGGTAGCTTGTTAACTCTTTCTAGATATAAACGTCGACATTTTTAAGGTAGCCTGTAGGGATGAAACTGTGTACATCCTTCATTTGTGTACAATGTACACAACATTTTAAGTAGCCTACGTAAAAGTTTGATGTAACTCAACTTTATGGTTTGGTGGTCATAAAAGAGAAAAACTTCACAAAAATCAATCTTGATTTGCTTGTATTTTATAAACCTGAGAAAGCCATCATAGAAATATGCCACATCACTGATCATGTGTGTCATGGTTTTTGTCACCATGATTAATCCAACCCAGTTTAAAATGGGTTAAGTAACGTTCACTTTTAATTAGCAATATTTCTCTTGAGTGACATAGAACACACCGCACGTTCCAGCCTTTTTACTATCATATAGGTAAAGTTAAGTGTCAAAACTTATAAAAGTATATAAAATTAAAATTTAAATATTATTTATGTATTTTTTGACATTGATAAGAAGTTAAAGGAAAAATTTCCTGATTTATTGCATGAAGCATGAATTTCTCATATAAATTCTACAAAACATTATTGTTTTCTACCCTTCCAAAAAGTTAATAGCATGCATTTCCCCCGCAATTTTTCTTATACAATCATAACAGAAATAATGTTGGACACAGGGCGAACAAATACGCTCTAAGGAAGCAAAAAGACATAAATATACAATATCAAAAATGTATACTACGTTTTTCAAAATTTAACTCAGTAAATATCTCTAGTTCAGACAATGTATGTAATCTCTCAGCATCGTTTTTTAAAACAACAAATCCCAAATTTTTCAACAATTAACTCTACTATTTTTTTTTACTAATTTGTTTGGGATGGGGTATCCTGTAAAACTGGGAACAGTTACTGAAAAATGTCCAGAAAAAAGCTCTATTATCTGTTAATTGTCTCAAATTCAAAAAAAAATCCAAACAAATGCATTAAGATGATACATTGATAAGATGAAATCATTACAACCAGTGCTCGATTTGGGGTGGAACACGGCAGATTGGCATTCCAGCACCTCTCTTTCGGAAATATAAAAATATTGGCTTAAATAGGTACTAATCACATTAAATAGATTACTGTTTTGGCACCGAATTTCTTACTAATCGAGCACCAATACCACTTTTATTGTTCGGAGACATGAAACAGTCAAATTATTTTTGCAATATATGCTTTTAAAATCATAATTACTTCTCTGTGGTTTCCTGGGAAAGAATTCAAATTAACTGCCCTCTTCTCTGCAGGAGTGTGTCCCGAAATTTCATCTATCAGTTTTCCATTTACAAATATCGTAATAAGTTCTTATAGCTTATGAAATACTAATAAATAACTACGAAACAACAGTATTTATTTTTCTTTGATAAGTTACAGCCACCTTGAACATTTTTAAGTTAGAGGAATTTTGTTAGCTAAGATTGTTTTTGTACCCACCATTGTAGTCTTACTGTTAAGCGTCGGGAAGGTTAGATGGGTATTGCGTATTGCGTATGCGAGTGCAAGGTGGTGAGGTGGCTTGGCATGGTTGCAGAGCTCTGACCTGGGAGCGGGTCTGCACGGGTCTCCGGATGCTGGCAGTAGCGAGGCCGGGTCTATCATCACCAACCCAGCGTACAGTCTGCAGCGAGGTCATCGGAACAACGCGAGCTTCAGAAGCACCGTGTCCGACAGCGAGATTGAGCAGGGCAATGTGAGTAGACTAGCGGAGTAGCAGACCCACAATAGTCACCGCTGGCCTGTTGGAGCTAAGCTAGCTTAGTTGAGAAAATTAGTATTTATTTACAAACAACCACTTTGTTGAAACAGCCATGTTCTTTGTGCTAAGCAGGATGAGTTATAGGGTGAGTTGTGGGTCTCCACCCCAGACCCTTACTTACTGGGTGGACCATAAAATAGAGGGGTTTCACAACTTCCCTTATTAGAAAATTCTTTGAAAATTAAGGGCTGAAAAACGAGGTAGGTTTTAATTTATTTTTTACAAAGAGTTGTTCACAAACATTAATGTAGTCACTCATATTTTTCTCTGAAAATATGTATACATCTTTTATCACATTTGCTCCAGTGGGTGGGGGGGGGGGGAGGGAGGGGGGCAGCCTCCTGCTGCTACTATGGTGGTTTCTTTAGCTCAGATTATTTATTGAAAGTTCCATGTTCCAAGTTTTTGTAGATACAAAAAGTAAAGTAATCCGTAACAGCATTTCGTCCTACCTAGGACTTGAAGGGAAATCCACTCTTTCAACGTCTCTCATTTAACAACGAAATAATTAAAATTACCAACCAATCATCTCCCTGAAGAACTTCTATACTTGGATAAAATAACAATGATGTTGTTATCTTGTGTTATCTTTCTCCTCCATCTATCTATTCTTCTGGGCCCTAATATTCTCCCTTGAGTTAATTGAACTCTACATCTTTCCAATCTAACTAATCTAATTGTATACTCACGTTTAACTGGTTCTGTTGACTAAAGAAAATTAATTGTTCTCTTTTCAGTTTCCTCGCCAACAAAAGCCTCGCAATCCTAGTGTGTGGTCGAGCAAATCTTCTCTAAGTACTGGTTTCCGATATCACGGAGGTAACCTACACAACACCTCTACGACTCCAAGCCCGGACTCTGGGAGGATATACCTATTCCAAGGTATGACGTGCTTTTCAAGTCAAACCTTCTAGTCATGTCACTTCATTCTACACTCATATTCACTATTCAGGTTAAATACAAAGAATAGTGTTACTGTCTGAATGTAATTATAATGTGACTGTAAGTGTAAACTATATCGTAGTGTGTTAAGATCACTGCCTGTCTGAGTTATACACGGTGATGGCCAGATGAGGAATCTAAAACTGTTAATCCTCAAATTATGTGGTTGCAGGTCTACTGGGCAAGGACAGGTCCACTGTATGGGACCAGATGCAGTTCTGGGAGGATGCGTTCTTGGATGCTGTTAGTCAGGAGAGAGATATGGTCGGAATGGACCAAGGCCCCACAGAAATGATGGAGAGGTAAATAGTTGTGTTAGTGTGTAAAGAAAGAGTCTAACAAAAACTATTAGCACCATTGGCTCTCAACAATTCTTAATATGCAAAAGAATAGTTTTCAGTTGTCTCAATCTCGCTGTGCTGGTCACAGTCTATTGCTCAGTAGCTGCCACATCGCTTGTCCCTGCCACTCAGATGACCAGTGATACAACATTATGTTACACCAATCGCAATCAGATGCTCTGAAGGCGAGCAGGGCTGTCCATCAAAATATGTATTGTTTACACAACACAGCAGGGTGGCTGAGTGGTTATAGTATAGTGCTCATCTAATCATGGGGTATCTGGTTCACCAACAAAGGTTTGTAGCATTTTGATAATTCGAAACTGGATCCAGCTGTTTTTTTATCCTTGAGGTTAGTAAAGGAACTTTCTAAAGAAACAGCTGATCTTAGTAACAAATCTACACTGTCATTCATTCCAGTCTCTGCACTTAATATTCAGCTTAAAATTTGGATAAAAAGTATCTTGCTGCCTGGGGAGCTAGCTGGTCTAGTGGCAGAGCACAGGACTTCGGCTCCTAATGTCCTAGGTTCAAATCTTGCCAATCACCAATGGATTTTAAATCTAAGTGATAACGCCGCAAATGACTAAGACTAGCCTGAAGTAATGTGTGAAACGGACAACGGTTCCAAGCCATGGCCTCTAAGGATGAAAAGGTTGGACATAAAAAACATTAGGTCACTAAAATGGCCATCCAATCCAGTATGACTGGCCAAATGAGTTAAACGTTTCTATTTAAGAATGTATGACTGACAAAGTTGCCATTTCGTTTGCTGCACAGATATAAGTGCCTGAGTGAGACAGAACGTAAGCGGTTGGAGCACGAGGAGGACAGACTTCTGTCTACGATGTTGTACAACCTGACGGCCATCATGTTGATGATGAATGTGACCAAGGCAGAGTTGAGACGCAAGGTGCGTCGTCTGCTAGGCAAGAGTCACATTGGCCTTGTTTACAGCCAAGAGGTCAACGTTCTACTGGACCAAATCGAGAATCTGGTTAGTTTTTTTCGCTTACCAATAACGATAAAATTGAGAAGAATTCTATTTGTTGTTGTTTTTTGTTGGAATTGAGATCAAGTAAAGAAGTTACGTTTAGGTTTTGAGATTCAACATTTTTTGGTTTTGACCATCACTACATGAAAGTAGAGTTGATACGCTGTTTTATTCAAAACCAAACTAAAGTACTCAACTGGCACATCACTAAGAACTATTTTTGTCCAGCATGGTAACGACATAGACCTGAAGCCGCTAGGGTCACGACAGTCTCACCGTCAGAGTTTCACCGTTCATTCTGGATGTGACTCCTCGGGAGATTTGCTGTTCATGGAGGTGAGGGAGGACGGAATCGTGCTACGGTCAGTCAACGGAGTCATCGTGGAACGCTGGTGGTACGAGTACTTGGTCAACATGACATACAGTCCGAAGAATAAGGTATTGTCCCTCAGCTATAATGGAATTGCATATGTTATGTGAGGATCATTAGTATAGTGAAATTCAATGTTTTAATTGGATGTTACACACCACATAAGGGTTTATCTAGGAGAGAAAGGAGTAATTATTGAAACATTTTGTATTAGTTGTTAGTTGTTTAAACCTCTTATGATTGTTGACCACACAGAACTCAAGGACCTGTATGGAATGTAACAAGTAAAGTAAGGCAGCTACGTAGCTGAGTAGATATAGTGCTTGTCAGAAGGTTGTTGGTTTGGTCCTGAGAATTAAAAAATGTCCTAATGGTTCAAAACTCTGGATCTTTGACCTTTTAATGAATGGTCCTGGCACAGTAATCAGCTGATATTTTAGTCAGTAACAATATTCCACCCTGGTATGTTGGCCAAACGAATCTAATATAAACTAAAACAAGTGACATAGTTACAGTATGTTGCTTGTTTCATTCATTTATCAAATCAATTCTGAAAGTTCTTTTAACCAATGGGCTAGTTTTTTTTTTTTTTTTTTTTTGATATAAACCCGATGAACACACATAGCTCTTGAATTGATCATATGACAGCAGATGAGCTGCAGGAATATTTTTTACCAATAATATTAAAAAACGTTTTTTATTCAGATTTTAAAATGTTGGGGTAAAATATAATTTTGTTTCAGGTTTTGTGTCTTTGGAGGAAGAACAGCGGCCAAACACAGCTGCATAAATATTACACAAAAAAGGTAAGTGGTTAATAACCACTTTTTGTTAATTCTGGCTTAATAAACAATTTGATTTGATTTGATTTGAACCGAGGTTTGATTTAGGAGGACACATTGTTCCAGGATCTCTTTCTGTCTAGAGAAAAACTTTCTAGTCGAAAAACGTGCCTATTTTAAAAGAAATTTGACAAAAATAGCATTTATGGGAACCTTTTTTACTGCTTTTTTTAGCTCGTGGGGATTTAATACGAGGGCTATCCAGAAAGTAGATTACGTTTTTGTCTGTATCCGTTAGGGGCGGAGCTAGCGCGACCATCTTGGTATTAGTTCGTTATGGAGCTCAGTCGGCATCTAGCCATGCTAGTAAGAGGTTTCTGCTGTACTCCGTTGGGTTACTGTGACAGTTTAAAATGTCTGTGTTAATTGAAAATGTTGCAAACTGTGTAGTGCGCGCAAAAAAAAAAGAATGGACTCTTTGGTTACAGTTTGGTAACCAAGCTTTTCGGTTATATGATCTCATGCAACAAACTTCGCAAAATTTGTAGAAAACGACATCTGCATCAACTTTTTCGACAAGTTCGGCAGTCACAATGGTGGGTCTTCCACTTCGCTCTTCGTCGTGAACGTTAGTTCGGTAATTTTTAAATTTAATGACCCACTGACAAACTTTACCTTCAGTAATGTTTTCCCCATAAACTTCACAAAGTTGCCGATAGATTTTTATCGGTTTACAGTTTTTTGCACTCAGTTCGCGGCATTTTCAATTAACACAGACATTTTAAACTGTCACAGTAACTCAACAGAGTACAGCAGAAACCTCTTACTAGCATGGCTAGATGCGGACTGAGCTGCATACGAACTAACACCAAGATGATTGCGTTAGCCCCATCCCTAGCGTATACAGACAAAAACGTAATCTACTTTCTGGATAGCCCTCGTAAATGGCAAATGATAGAAGTGCACCTACTACCTCACGAGGTTGTACCTCCCAGTACATTTTAGTTATTGTCAATCAACTTCATGAACTGTCAATGTCAATAGTTAATAACTAAGCAGTAAGATGTTTATGTGAAAAAAAAAAAAAAAAAAACGGCGTAGATCTGGTTAACTAAGCGATTTTGGAAAAAACGTTTTCTTGATTTTCTCTTTATTTTGACTTATAGAACCATTTCTGGAGTTTGGCTGTTTACTTACGGGACACCCTGTATACAATCTAATGAAAACTCTACCAAGGGAGAAGAACACACAAATAAATTATTCAAGAAACGGGTTCCAGGCGGAAAGCACAGATAGTTCAGTAAACGCAACTACTTTGATTTTTTCAACCCCTACAAGGGGCCTTTTTCTGATACTAATCAACTTGGTAGCCGAGCGGTTACAAAGCTCGACCAGTAATCAAAATGGTGTGGTTCAATCCTAAACAAAAGGAAAGTTTTTTTGGTTCGAAACTGGACCCAGGTGTCCTTGATCATTAAGCTAAGGTTTCCAAGATCACGCTGGGCGGACAGCGTGAGTGGATAAGCGTGATTACGTAATCAAGTTTAAATTGAAGCCATGCTTTTATATGGGTGCGAGTTCCAAGTGCGAGCGATCACGCCGGACATGAGTTTTCAGGCCATCTGTCTGGCGTGAGTCCTGAGAGGGGCACGCTAAAAATGACCCCAGTCATTTCTGGCGTGCACGCCGAGCGGACAAGTGTAGGACTCTTGAGGATCCTCATTTTGTTTTGAGCTATAACACTGTTTTAAATCTTAGATCCGCTTTCTTGCAAACCACCCTCACGCCGAGCTTGATAGGAAATCCGCCGGACAAAAATTAGCGCCAACGGACATCATGCGGGACAGATCACGCTGGCGTGATCTTGGAAACAGTAGCTTTAGGCAAATGATCCTAACTAATGAAACAGCTGATCTTAGTCAGTTGCAAAGCTGAGAAGAGGTCATCTCACTCCATCCTATACTCACTGTATCATATTCGGCTTTAAATACACACCCAAGTGTGCAATGCTGTGAAGAATTGATAGTTGACAAATCAAACTCAATATAAAATTTATTTTATGTAAACTTTTTGTGTGATGTGAACTGTCTGGAACTCTTTCGCAGGTAAATTACCTGAACATTCCTTTTTCCTTAATGTATTTCGTATTTCCAAGTGCTCTTTTCACCCACTCGTCTGATATAAAGTGAAGAATCTCAGATGGTTTTCACACTTGTTTTCCAGTGCAAGGATCTGTACTACTGCATCAAAGAGTCGATGGAGAGGGCGGCTGCGCGAGGACAGGGTGCTCTGACAGGGGTGGAGCTCGGAGGAGAGTTCCCTGTTCAGGATCTCTCGTCGGGGGAGGGAGGGCTGCTCCAAGTCTGCATGGAAGGGGTGGGGCTGCTCTTCGCCAATAGCAAGGTGAGCCTGCATGTCTTTGTCAGTTTTCAGGGCGGTTCTCCACATGACAGGTAAGATAAGAAGACATCTCCAGCGGAAACAAAGTTTTGGGATGTTTGTAAATTTGCAGATTGGTGTTGGTGTTTTCCAATCTTTGTAGATAAGTTAACTAAACTACTCTTTGTTGCCGATTTTCATATAAATTTTTTTGATTTGCTACCAAGAATGGCTGCTAATTTGATACATAATGTAAGGAATACTACTTAAATGCGCTGTACGAAATGGTGCTTCAGATATAATTCCTCTACTGTCTCAAAATTTGTACATCCCGTGAACAAATTACTTATTCATTTCAAAAGCTGTAGTTATTAACAACATTTTAAAAGCGCAAGACTAAATGTCTACTCACTGATTCTAATAATCAATGTTATTTTTATATGACTTTTATGAAATAGCTTTTTTAAACACAAATGAAATCACTATTGGATTACAATTCAATAAAATAAACTGATTCATGTAAGACCAGTATTATGTTGTTCATATAGTAATCTGACTCGATGCAAAAACTGAACTTCTCTGCATTCTGCAAACTATATAGTCTTACAAAATAATTATTGTCAAAACTGTCAGTTGAATCTGTAAAATTTTCTTGGAATTGGAATATTATATGGAATTAAAATACTAGAGGATACAGGAAAAATACCTCTTTTAATGTTGAACATAAAAAATGGACATATTTGAGACAAGTGTAATTTCACAACAAAATTTCATTTTTAGTCGTTAGTTGTTACCACAGTTTATTCTAGGAGAAATTTGTTGGAGTGTAAACCTAAAATAAATATTAAAATCTGTTGATTGTCAAAATCATACGATATCTAATCATAATGTACCTTTTTCAATGATTTAATTTGCTGCGTTAAGAATAGTTATATTTAGTTGGTTCTGGCAATCCATACAGACCATGTTCTTTCCAACAAAACAAAATTCAAGTATTTCTCATCCTTTAGTATTGTTAAACCTGATAAAATAATACAAATTAGGGTTTGTTTGAATTTATTTGCTTTTCAGCGTTTCCTGTTTTCTTCTGATCTTTGTTCGTTTTACATAATTTCTACTTGTGTGTATTTACAAATTCAAAGATCAAAATTCAACTACCATACAAGGACCACTCAAAATATTCCTTAAATCGCTTAAATTGCTTGCTCGAGTACAAAACACATTGAGCTCTTAAGAGACTGAGGAACCCTCCGTGACTATTTGCCCACTCTTTAGTCTCATAAAAGATAAGGTAGTACATTTTTCAGCATACACCATTTAAATTCTTTCAGTTTTGTTAAAATCTATCGATGTTTTTTGGTTTTTTATACAATTTCTTTTCTCTATCTTGTCTATCTCTCTATCATTATTATGTTTCGCATGTTTTATCGATTTCTGTCTTTGTTTTGTCCATTTATGGATGTCGTCTGAAGAAAAAAAACTTTAAATTTCCTTTTGATCAAGAGGTACGCTATTAATATGCATCCTTTATCGGATTTTAAAGTGTTTTCCATATGTTTGTACCACTCTCTTTCTCTTACGATTTTCTACACTTTCTATTTTGCAATGACAGTATAACACTTTTTCACAATATACAGTTTTATTTTGTTACGGCGTTTGTAAAAAAGTTTAAGGAGCTTTTGAGATGGTCCTTAATCTCTTGTGAAATTCCAAAATCTTTAAACGCTTTTCTTGCGAAGAACTAACAAACTAGGTAACGTCTGTAGGTGTATGTAGGTGTGTGTAGAGATTTACGGCTCATACTAGTTTTGTCTTTTCTTTGTTCATTGCTCTGGTTCGTTCGGATGTCAACTCCTCAGGATTTCGAGGTACTGCACTGTTTTCTAGATCTCACGTTGTCGTTCATTTGATTTTGTCTTTACGTAGAGCATTTCCCAATTTACGTTGATTGTTTTTTGTTTGTATTTCCGTTTGAAGCCCATTTACTTAGTTGTTCTGTAGATTTCCATGTTTCGTCCGCTCAATTTGTCCATTGCGCAATTTTATTGTTAAATCTGTTATTAGACACTTTATTTTTTGTTGTTTAGTCATTGATGAACATTATTTTCAGTTGTATGGATAAATCGCATGGGTTGCACAACTTAGTATAGATGTAACTATCCTCACAAACCTCTGACTATTAAAAGACGTCCTGGCCATCTCAGAAGGTTGCCTTAAGCTTTATATTCAGTTTCTGAAGTCGCTTCACTTTCATTTGCTTTTATTTGCATTCACTTAAGTTTTCACTGCCTTTGCTTGTAGCTTTGCATGCTGTTTGCTTGCACTTTATATTATACATAGGTTACTGAATGTTTTGTGTAGAGACTTTCCTAGACTGAAGAAATCTTTAGACAGCAGCACAGTGGAGTAGAGTGTGATGAGTTGACCACCTGAAACTACTTTAATGGTGTACTACGTTGGCTTGTTTAGACTTTACAAATTAAGTTTGCTACAGCATTACAAATATCAATATGTTGAACCTAAACCATAAGAAGTTGTGTTCTCATCATGTAACAACATATTCTGACTGAAGTTTCAAAGTGTGTTCATTTATTGGAAGGAAAGAAAATTTTGAATTATACTCCATACACTTTAAATCATACCAGAAATTCCATTGGCTGACATGTATGTATTAGAAACAGTTTTGGTGCTTAGGTTTATACAATTTGACTGTATATTTTGACTTAGAATCACAAAACATAAATGTAACATGGTTTTATAACCATGTATAATAGAGCAATAACAGTTGTCTGGGTAGCCAAGTGGTTATAGCACTCACCTTAGAACCTGAAGGTCGCTGGTTCGATTCCAAGTAAGATCGTTTCCAGACCCAGATGCCATTTGTCATCGAGCTATGAATTAGATGCTATATCCAACAAAAAAGTCGACGTTAGATAGTAACAAGACCAGGGTTTGGACCAGTCTCTTACAAAACGTAAAAAATGCCACTGGAGTAAAAAAAATATATAAAACCAATTTTTCATCTATTAATAATTGAATTTATACATATGTTACTATTTGTGTCATATAAGTTTTGACTTCATTTTTAATGCTAAATGTATTATCAAAGTCATAATTTTTTAGCTTAACCAAAATTACACGAGCATGATAGGTTTTTGGACTTTTAAAACATATAGATTTTTAAGCCCTCCAAATACAGATAACTAATAGTTATTGCTTTATTTTCACAGTTTTTCGTCAGACTGGACCACATTCGAAAATGCTTTACTCAGAAAGGGGGCATCTTTATATTGGAAGAGTTTAGTAAGTAATTAACTAGTGAGATAGATACTACTAACATCTTCTGAAATAAACTTTGTACCAATAGAAATATTTAGTTTTACAAGTTTATTAAAGATGACAAGAAAATATATGTAAACTATCAAGCGGTGCCAATATATTTTTTTATACATATGATTTATTACTACTTGGAGATCTTAACTTACCTTTATCATTTAACTAGCAGAGTACCCGTCCTTTGTACGGGGTTGGCATATAAGTTTAAAATGCTTATTGCAGTTATACTCTAGCTTTGCGTTTGCAATGGGGGAGGACACATTTTGATAACATTTGCTTCTTTAAATTTACGGTATACTATAGTATTACACATCTACCATAGCCATAATGTTCTACCACTTCACCTAAACAGTGAAGAAAAATAAGTTATTAAAAATTGGCAAAAAATCACAAATCATTCTTAACATTAAAAACATAAACATAACTGTAAACAATCCTACTTTGACAGTTCTCATTGTGTATCACAGTTTTTGTTGCTGCTTAGTTCAAATTAACTGTTTACATAAATGGAAAAAAATATAGTGCTGCACCCTGTTGGTAAATCTTATAACTTTTTAATGCTTTTGTATATCATAGAACCAAATTTTGTAGTTGAAACAGCTGACTAAATTCTTTAATCCCCTTTAAATATGAATACTCATAAGGTTAACATGGGGCACTACAGAGCCACTGGGGCGGAGCCCGAAAGTATTTTTGATATAAGAATATGCCTATATGTTAATCGGGAATGTGAGCTATCTTTATGCCAAATTTCAGCCCAATCCGTCCAGTGGTTTATGCGTGATTGAACTTCAAACAAACACACAAACTTTCACATTTATAATAACTAGCTTTTACCCACGGGCTTCACCCCGTTTGACATCATAAGTATTAATAAAACTATTGATTGGTTAAGTTAACCTGAAATAAACAAAATACAGTAAAAGAAACAAATAATCACACCTGATTTTAATAAGGTAATAAATTGAAAGAATAACAAACAAATAAGTACAGCTGAGGTATTTTTAACATTAGGTATATGAAAAGTTCCCTTTAGAAATGAATTACGACCTTAAAGGGCAATTTATGACATAATGGATAATTTTGCGCAAGGTTTCTCGTCATGACGAACATTTTAAGTACTGTATATGGTTTATGGGGGTGTGACTTGTAGTTTTCTCAAAAGTTCATGGGTAATTTTGGCTTTATATATAGATTCGCTATTTTGTATTTTAAGTATGAATATTTATTTTTATCTTTTAAATTTTCCAACCAATCTTTATGAAACTTGGTATGTATTTTATTTTATATTAAGGTAGATGAAATCTATGTCATAAAAACCTAACTCTGTCCAGTTTAAAATTTCAAAAATAACGGCCATTTTGATTATGAGATTACTAACGCATGGCTGATTGTATAAAAAATGACAATTACACATTCATATAGTATTTAAAATTTTCAATAAAACAAAACCAAGTTTAAAAAGGTTGAATGACAAACAGCTGTAATATTATGATTTGTTGTTGTAAATCCAGACAAGATAAGGAGAAGCAAGGGGTGTGTCTTATTTTGCCTCATTTTGTCATATTTGGACCAGATTTCTTGAACACAACTGGAACTGGTTGGTGACCTTTATTAACCTTAACCTTTTAAAAGTTAAAAATAAATTGATGAAAAATCCTTATCGAAGCATTTTTGAAGAGTATAAGTAGACAAGAGACAGTTTACAACCAGTATTACCTTAACTACAGGGTTTCCACCAAAATAAATATACCTACTCTTTAAAATTAACTGGAGCAAATTATTTTCAGATCCGAAAACACGTCAAGTTATCCAAAGGCGATACAAGTCATCAATGGTAAGTAGTAAAACTATTTTGATGTTCAACTTTGTAACATTGATGAATAATATTGTTCTGTGATTGTAATGCATTCTTGTTTTGTTTTGCGTTTTAGTGCAGTTTTGCTGGAGTTGAGGCAAATGTTTGTGGAAATAGCTATGCTGCTGGGATTAGCAGGCTTAAGCTGAGTTGCAGTTTTACTGGATGTTAATAATAGACATGACAATATGACACCATAGACAAAATAGAATAAAATATAGACTGTCAAAGGAAGGTTTCCACAATGTGCCGCTAGGAGTGCTGTGTAGTTACGCACACCGCTGCAGATGAGGAGCCGTATGCTACCAGCAGACGCTGCAGCGGTGTGCACCGTAACTACACAGCACTCCCAGTGGTGGACGCCGAAACATATGCTAACTGCAGCACTGCTGTTGGTCTATATTTATTCTAATTGTCTATGAGATGACCATGTCTATGATTGATGGAATCGTTTTCAGACAATACACAATTTATTATTCAGTTGTTACAAATGTCATACCAATTATGTAAACTATTTACATTTAAAATCCTGAACCAACTATACCGAGTTAATTATGATTTATAATGGTTGTTGTATTCTAGTAAGGCTATTTCTTTTTAACACGTAAAACCCTTCTTATTCTTCATCAATTTGTTGGATAACAACATGTTTTATTAGCCCTGTTGTATCTCGTTAAGTCAGTATTTCAATGCCTTGTTAGAAATATAAGACAGTTAAATCAGACATCACTTTATTTTCAGTTGAAATCCTTTAAGTTTTAATTAAAAATTGTAAAAAATCATACTACCTAACTAGTTAAATTTGCATATTCATAATAATAAACAAAAGACTAAAGAGTATAGAATTAACCAATAGCAACAAAAATTTGGGTGTACTGCTAACCTAGTGGTTAGCATCTAGGACTTTGGTTCGAAAGAGATAGTTTTAATCCCTATTGTGTACAAAAACTACAAGGGTTATCCAGAAAGTAAAGCACGTTTGGTTATGATGCCACTAGGCCACTAGGTAATGTGTTTGATCGCGTACATTTTGGTGCGTGCACACTCGGCAACTCAGTTGGTATCCAGCCGTGTCAGAGGAAACATTCTTGTGCTGCCCGTTTTTTTAAAATTTCAACTTAAGATGAGCGCTGCGATTAAAAATCCCGCCAGTTAAGAGGTGCGGTCAGTGATGCAGTTTTTGTTGGCAAAAAACTTAAAACCGATATACATTTATCGCCAAGTATGTGAAGTTTAAAACAACGTAATTAAAGAAAGTTGTGAGAAAAAATGGCCGATCTGATGCTCATGAGTCATGACGAAGCAAAGGGCGTCCGCCTGAGCATTGTGCCTAATGGAACTGGTCGCTAAAGTTGATGAAAAGGTTTGTGAAAAGCACCGATTCCCGATAACGGAGCTTTCGCTTTGTTGTGTGACAATTTCAAACACCACAGTCCGTGAAACTTGAGAAGTCTCAGTTTTAAGTTTTTCCACATAAAAATCACTTTAAAATCCACTTAAAATCATATCATTGGCCGTACCTCTTCACTGGCAGGATTTTTAATCGCAGCGCTCAGCTTAAGTAGAAATTGTGAAATAATGGGCAGCATGAGAATGATCCAGTTGTCACGGCTGAAAGCCAACTGAGGTGCAGAGTGCGCACGCACCAAAATGTACGCGATCGGCACACAGCTAGCGGCGTCAGAACGAAACGTTCTTTACTTTCTGGATAGCCTTAATATTTGAGGTTAGACCACTTTTCCTTAAAAGCGTTTGTAATTGCTTGGTTCTAAATGCCAGTGACACAAGCACTCAAAAAACATTAAAAATTATAAAGTTTAAATTTGGAAAGTTATAAGTTAAAACCTTTTCTTTTCATTGCACACTCTTAAATTCACCTCCAACCCCTTCCCTGTTTCCCTTGGCATGTTTAGGTTAACCTAGTTCATTACACAATTAGTTTATTTATTTTCTGTCAGCTCCGCATGATTGTTGTACGCATGTCTGTTCTTTAGGCAGCAGAAATCAACAAGACCCTTCACCGAGTGATTTCCGTTGTATTTACCAAGAAACTCGCCACTTCCTGACGCATGCATGTCAGTTTGTATGCTTTTTATTTTTTATTTTCAGTTCAAATGTTTTATTTTGTTAAGCCTTTCTTGATGTGAATGGTTGTTTGTGTGAAGATTTTTTTTTACCAATGTTACCTTCCATCCATTCTGCTGTAGAAGTGCTTTGTTTTGTTTGGTGAATTATTTTTAAAGTTACTCAGTTCAAACATAAACCTGTAAGATTCCAATAAAAAATTTACTTATTTGTTTAAAATTAGGTCTTAAACACATCATATTGGATAAAACTTAAACTTTGACCAGAATAGGTAAATAAATATAATTAAATGGTAGAAATCTTACTTTACAAAGTCAATTACATTGCCAAAGCCCTTAAAAGTCCTATATTTCTGGTAATGTGCAGATAAATTAAGATTGTATGGATGCAATCTGAAACGGTGCATTATAACCTTCAATAATTACATTGCCCTGCTTTGTTTGAGAATGCAATTAATTATAATCTGAATTTGATCCTCTTTAATTGAATTGTGATTACTGAGTTCTTTAAAGGGGATTCTCTACTAAAGAGTTTTTTTTATTTTTCTGATTCTTATTTAAATAGTTGATTCTTTAGTATATTTTAAATTTAATTTTGACTAAAAAATAAGACCACTCTATTATATCCATTTACTTTGAACCATCATAAAAAATAAATAAGTCATGTTGTTGTAAAACATGCATAACAAATTCAAATTTTATGAAAAGCATTCGATTGTAAACATTAAACATCTTCAAAGAATTTTGTAACTAAAGTCAATAAAAGACTATAGTAAAACTTAATATTTCTTATAGGCCATTTATTGCCTAGAGGATTTACCCACTTCCCAGTTTAGAATTAAAACTATAGATTGAATGGCATTTTTGTATTTAATATGAGTGAAATGAATAAATACTGTTGAAATGTTGTTTAGTGTTGACATATTGAAGGTCAAATTTAAATTAAAAAGACTGTAATGTAAAGATTGAACATAAAACCTAGGCCAATGTTTGGATTATAAATAAAAGGAAGGCAAAAGACTGATTGAATAAAAAAAAAACACTGTGAAATAACATAAATTATAATAATTGCTGCAGACAAATTAGTGGCTTTTGTAGCTAAATTTTATGAGTTTGTAAATTTGTATATTTTTGGAAACGTTTTTATGTAGTTTCCATTACTTATGTATCATTCTTTTTTCATTGCCAATAAAAATTTAACTGCAATCAGCAAAATATTTATGTAGTCATAGTAGGGTACCCACCTACACCTACCAAGGTAGTGAATGACAATTTCCTGAAAAAAAAAACATTCCCTGATTTTGCGTGAGACCCAATAAACTTTTTATTACTTTCAAATTTGTGCATTATATTTATTTTATAAATTTAAATCCAAGAAATTTACAATTTGTAGTATATTTCTGGTTTGATTTCAGTTTCTGTGTTTTGGGTTTACTATATTTACATTTCTATAAATAGGGAAACCTGAACAAAGGTTAACACAGAATATTATCTTTATGATTCAATCCATTTGCAGGCCGACCAGATTTGTTACGCTGTTCTATGTGTGTTCTCCTACATGGCAGCCGGCCACGAGCAGAAGCGAGCGCTGCGTCACTGACGTGGACTGGCGTAAACATGACTCTCTGTATATCCTCATGTTACATCGGCTTTAGACAACGACTTACATATATTAGTTGTATCCTCTTAGTGAGCTAATGCATTAATTATTCAAAAGTACCTAATTTCTTAACACATATTAATTTCACAGCCCAAATAAACCTCTCTTAAGGAGTTACTTTGAAGTGGAGAATATTAGTTTGCAGAATCAAATAAAATAGTTCTTAGTTGACAAACCTGTTTGAACATACGGTAGAATCTCTTTTAGCCAAACAAATTTTCATGACTAATGGAAACAGCTTAAATAAGTGAAAACACTTAAATACATCTTTGACAAAGGAAGAGAAACACTTCCTATCTACTCTATGGTTTACAATCCCTGTCTTATCATAAATAGATGGTGAACAAATTCTTGATTCTAGACAAAATGAAAATACAGATAAACTAATAATAGCAAAGTTTTGGCAACATGAAATGGACTCTCCTTTATTTTGGGTAAGAGAGGTTCCACTGTTATCAGTGTTAACCCTAAATTTAGTTATGAAATTTTTCCAATTGTAAAACTTGTAGTTGTCTATGGGGACATCAGATGAGAACACCGTAGAATAAAACATTAAAAGTTACCGCCTTGTCAATATTAGAGTGTGGTTGACAATATTATCTGTAAATATGCATCTAGTCTGTAGTGAGTAAGAAAATAATGTGCCCCAAAATGTAAGATCTGTAAAATAAATTGTTTTTGTTAAATTAATATAGCTTTAAAACGTGGAGCTAAAGAGGAATAATTGTTTTTGAATATTAAAATAAGGATTTAGCCTATAAATTAATTTTTTTAACCCTCCGGAACATGTGATTTGTGAAATCTCTTTTTATATGTGTTAAACGTTACGTTTGTAAGCTGCAACAATATGAATTCTTGGCTCTCAAACTTTCAAGGAAACAATGAAAACTTCATGTTGTTAGCCTCCGGATCACTGGTATAGTAATAAATAATGGTTAAAATACCTTATACTGTCAAAGTGATCCTTTGTAGTCTATATAGCTACTGCAGTTTCGTTCCCGATGGGGTCGAAAGGTCAGTCTAGACCTGCCCTCCGTGCGTATCGGGTTTCCCGGTACCGGCGTTTTTGTAATGTTTATTTATAATTGTTCGTATTTTTGTTTGTGTGTAATTAAATGTGTGACATCGATAGATTCTAACTTAAACGACTTCGTCTGGAACGAAATTTGATGTCCTTGACAGCCCGATGAAGTTCCCATCGGGAACGAAACTGCAGTAGCTATATAGACTACAAAGGATCACTTTGACAGTATAAAGTCTTTAAACCATTATTTACAACAATGAAAAATATTAATGTATTGGCTGACTTGTCTATTGTAAGAATTTACCAATTACCACTAACATTTAGCATTTGCTACGTTTGTGTACAATTTTCTAAACAATATAAAAAATATGGAGTTTATGTTTATGTTAGTCAACGGGTAGTTAAAAAGCACTCCCTTACACAAAATACACAAGTTAACTTAAAATGTATTATAGAACATGTTAATACTGTATAATGTAAAACAAAGTATTGATGGTTCTATTTTGTGTTGTTATTATGTAAATAGTCATAGTATATACTGTATATTTGTGTATAGAGATATTTATAGTATTGAAAAATAAATGAAACTGCTATTAATATAAATTGCATATATGAATTGTTTGATCAGGTATGATACAGTGTCTTGTTATTATGTCTTGAGTGTTTGATGGAAGATAACTGTTTCAGAGTGGATATAAAAATTACAGCATTATTGAAGTTTACCTATATTTTTTATATACTTAAACTTTATACCTTTCTGTTACAATTGTGTAGATAAAATATGTAACGCAAAGTAAAATTCATCATTACATAAAAGCATTGAGTATGCACGTATAAGCATATAAGCCTCTGAGGACCTTTTAATCATTTAGTATTAAAAACTTATTAAAAAACAACGAAACTAAGAACAAACAAATGAATTTCATCAACAAAAATGACATTTTACAACCTACAATGAAAGTAATAATAAAAAAACAACCAAACTACCTTACCAACAATCCCGAAGTGAAGTAGTTCCGGCCGCTGACGCTACTCTGCAACAGCGCTGTTCAGGTAACGATAACCTCCATTCAGTGGCTACTCTAATACGTGTATACTCAATGATAAAAGTCATTATTCTAAAGCTTGTTGGTACAATTAACTCAGTAATGTGAGGTTAACTGTTGAAAACAGTCCATTGGTATGAAAATGGACTCTGTAAAAAATTAACTATCATAGCCTGTGACCCATTTGAACTAATTCATCCACTAATCGTTTAAGACTAAAATAAAATGACAAATGAGCAATAGCTTTATCATGATCAGTCCGTGTTCGAAATTGGCAATATTAACTGTTAATTGTTTTTATATGCAGAGTCTATGTTTGTGTTGTCCCTGCATGTATATGGATTTGATGTTTTGGTATATTTTGTACTATTTAATTTGTACACCAAACTATTTGTATGTTTGTCGTAAATGGGATAAAAAGATTGGTTTTCTACCTTTGACAAAAATGTTGAAAAAGTTTGAACTGCTGTGAAAATATTATTTTATAAATTTGAATGGACATATCGAAAAATGTGCTTATTTTGTAAACGTTGCTATGTTTAGTATATAAAAGCAAAAATTAAATGAATTGAACAGTAAAACTTGTTTGTGTGGAAATTCCAAATGCCTCTACCAAAATGCTACACAATATTGTTGTCTGAAATAGGTTTTTTGCAAGCATCCAATATTTTCTCTTTGTAGACTATTTATTGAATGCATAATCTTTGAAGGTGCTCTACTTTGAGTTCAACAGTGAGCCCTCTCATTTCATCTATCTATACTATTATAAAAAAGAGGTGGTTGCTGTATGTGTGTATGTGTGTATGGGAAAAGTAAACTCAAAAAATACTGGTCGGATTGGGCTGAAATTTGGCATGATGATAGCTCACATTCCCAATTAACATATAGGCATATTCGGTACTTTCCTGTTAAAGGGAACATTCATTATTATCGATGATTTTTTTCTCGATATATCGATATTAACAAATTGAAACATTTCAGCTGACAACTACGAAAAATATTGTTCAGTATCAACAAACATTAATGAAATGAAACTGTTCTAAAAAAATAACCTAACATAACTAACCAAACTTGCTGTAACATTTAAAATTTCCGTGTTTATAACTTGCCTTTTATATTCAAACCCAAACGAAATTTTTTAAATGGTACAGCAAGTTTGGTTGGTTGTGTTAGGTTAGCTTAGAACAGTTTCATTTCTTAATCCATATAACAGACTGTTTTAGCCTAAACAAGATCAGTTAATTATTGTTGTCAATTTGTAATGGATCGAAAAAACATCGATATATCGAGAGAAAAATCATCGATAATAATGAATGTTCCCTTTAACAGGAAAGTACCGCATATTCTTATTTCAAAAATCCTTTCGGGCCCCGCCCCAGTGGCTCTGGAGTTTCCCATGTTAACCTTATGAGAAATGGAATTATTGAATCTTAACAGCTGTTTCAATAAATGTGAAAGTTTGTGTGTGTGTTTGTTTGTTTGTTTCTGTATTTGAATGTCAATCACGCATAAACCACTGGATGGATTGGGTTGATTTATAAAGTAACAAATTAAGTCAATATTTAAAATATTTCAATTGTCACTATTTGGAGAGGAACTCTCAGCACATTTTCTCGTGTAAAAAGAACTTTTTGAACATCTAAAACATTTTAAGCTGAATCTCCACAAAATCTTACTGCACAGTATTACATGGCTAAATTATTAATCACAAAAACGTATACTTTGTTGTAATTTAGCAGGTATCTTTGTAGGCAAATAAAAAAGAGTGATGGATGACATCATTACCAAAATATTAAACAAATAATGAATAAACACAAAGTAAAATAAGGGTGACAGCACACTTATTTTACGTTATGTTTGAAAATGAATCCATGCTAACACATTGAAAACAATATGTTAGCATAGATTCATTTACATTTCTTGTAGTGTGGTGCTTTTTAGAAACCATAGCTTCTGATGGCAGGTTATAGTAATATACAACCTAGAAAATGCAAATTATGAACAGTGAGTATCCAATAGGTGAGGTAGGCCTACTTTTGTCATTTTTTTCGAATATTAGCTATTCTTTACCAGGGTTTAGTCAAAGCCAAATCAAGGTGAGGTAAGTACAATTTTTAGCCACTGTAAAGCTTCTGAATTTCCTCAGGGGCAATGTAGATGATTTTTCATGCATATGTCACCATTATGATGATCTTAGACAACCACTATTAATTAGTCCATAGGTAGGACATTAGAGAAAAAAACCCAACACCACATCTTTGCTATCAGCAATTTCCAGTTGCTGTGCCTGCTTTCCCCTGAAGTAGCAATGTAGTGCTGTAATCATTATATTAACTTTATTTGAATTATTTAAAATTTTTTTTACAACTACAACAACAAAAATTTCCATTTTAGTATAGAACCTACTTTATCTTGAACTACAAAAGTGTCTGCTTGTAAAAAAAATATTGCTTTACAAATGATATTCAATTGCATAGGAATAATTAAAAAACTTAAAAATGACAATGTTAACTAAATAAACTAGAGGCTGTCCAGTGGTTAAAAACTCGCCCAAAAATATGTAATGTGCAGACGCTTCTCTATTCTCGTAAATAAAACATGTGTTTGAAATTTCTTCCATTTGTTTTGATTTTCGTCTATATTTTGATGTTATTTCGTCACCAGCATGGAATTCCCTAAGGCTCATGTTAATTTTTTCAAAATTTTAAATTTAATTTTTGTGCTCATTTTTGAGCCTATTTTAATTTATAAAGGCACTCTGCACGGGACCGCGTCTCGTTGTCCCTCCGTCTCGTTGTCCCTCCGTCTACTTGTACCTCGAGGCCTAGGGACAACTAGTCGTAGGTACAACTAGACGTAGGTACAAGTAGACGGTGGCTCACCCGACTAGTTGTACCTGCAGATTTTTAGGAGGTACAACTAGACGTAGGTACAACTAGACGTGTATCCCACCGACAAGTAGTATCACCTAGCTTGTACGGATGCGACCAGTTGTCCCTACGACTAGTAGTCCCTACGACTAGTAGTCCCTACGTCTAGTTGTACCTACGCGTATTTTGCATCCTTATAGTCTAGTTGTATCTATCCTTCAATTCGTTACCCTGTTTAATTGATTACTGCACGAGTATTTTTTAATAATACCCTTAATTAAATCAGGAACTGCAGTGTTCCGAGTCGATTGAGTATGATTGGCAAATATTTTTCACTGCAATACGATGTTTTAGTAGTTTTACAGACGTTAATTGGAGGCTGAAAGCTACGCCAGGGTCGACCGATTGCTGACCAGGGTCGAAATGACAGCTATAGTTGTGATTAAAATTTTCCAGCCCTGGTACCGAAAATCGCTTATTTAATTAAAACATTTATATATATCATTAAATATACAAGCAGTATATCCCTAATGAATTGCAATAGACCGCTGCCCAGCAATTATGTATTACTATTTTTGCTGATTCCTTTAAATATTTTTTCACATAACCTTAAAGTATTTGCATTGATTAGTGTGCATATCTTATAGTTTACAATGGATTTCCCAGTGATCAATGAACAATGAAGTGTACAATGAAGTTTAGGTCTAGCGGTTGAAAACTCGACAAAAACTATGCAATGTACAATACATACTTCTCCATTTAACATACACTCTAAATAATAAATGTGATTGGAATATGTTCCATTTGTTTTGATTTTATTTTCATAATTAGTTGTTATTTCGTCACCAGCATAGCAACCCGTTAAACCCAGGAATGGGCACACGGAAGGGACTAAGGCTAAAGGTGTAGTGACGTCATATCTCTAGTGGTTAATGTCTTCTCTTGAGGCGACACGATTACCGTAACGAAACGACGTGATTTCAGCGACATTCGTGGCATAGATGGTAGCGTTTCGGATTGATGTTCAGGAAGTCCGGGGTTCGAAACCCGCCGACAGTACTAACTTTTTGACAACTAATTTTTCATATCAGCAAGTTTGGTTGGTTAGGTTAGGTTATGGCAGTTTAATTTTATAATACTAAATTTTAAAATTAATTTTATAATTAATTAAAAATTATAAGTAATCATTAATTAGATTTTTATCTCATATAGTTTTTATATTATCAGCAAGTCTGGTTGGTTAGGTTATGTTATGACAGTTTAATTTTAAAAATTAAAAATTAATTTTATAATTTTAAAACAATATTTTATAATTAAAAAGTTAATTTTATCACAAAAAATTAAATATTAATTTAAATTTTTTCAACTTAGCAGTCCTAGCGGCGAACGCTGACAATACAAGATATGTTAGCCTTAGTCCCTCCCGTGTGCCCCACCGGTTAAACCCATGTTAGTTTTAAACATTTGTAATTCTTTTTTTTTATGTCTTTTTAGCCTATTTTAATTTATAAAGGCATTCTGTAGATCGACAGCAAAATACATTTCCACCGAAATGCGGATTTTTTCTCTGTGATGTTCACGAGCTGATAAAAAGGTTGTAAAGAAACATGCTTGCCTACATTATTGATATAAAGTCATTTTCGGCCCTAGGTACAAAATATACTCTTAAACTATCGTAGGATCGGTGGATACTAAACTCTATCTTGGAATTGCATACACTCGCTCCTATCTTTAAGTTTACGTTGTTGCCATACAATAAATGTATAAATAAACACAAAAATTCACAAGTTTTGTTGTAAGTACCGATATCATGTATAAATAAAAACATACAATAGCATCATTTGTAAGTGTATTCTGTAAAACTTTAAACAAATATTAGTAAAATAGTTTTCAGGCAAACTATTGTTGAATGAATTAGTTTTAAGTTGTTAAATTAACCTCCACCCGTGCTATATGTTTAATGGAGTTTGTCCGGCAAAATACCATAGTAAAATTAAATCAAATAAATAAAATCAAAAGCAATTCATAACAAAAGAATAATAGATACAGAATGGACGTAATTTCTGAAAATCGACAGGGCCCACATATGCGAAGCCTGTGCGTGGGGACCAAGTTGACTCAATAATTGGCAATTTGTCATAGTCTTGTAACATAATTAACTATCACTATTATAATTATCAATACATTTTCTAAGGAGAAACAAACGTCCGATTATTTCTAGGCAGCCAAAACAGATAACTTTAGAAAACTACGTTATAAGAATTAGAACAACTCAAAAATTAAATTGTTAACATGATTTGTTTAGCCTAACGAAGAAAATCATATACGCCGATGCTTGATGGCAAATCTGTGCGTGCATACCTTTAATTTGAGACCTCAATAATAAAAATGGTCGGGTAGCAGAGCCAAACGAATAACCCATTTTCTTAAATTTATAAGATTATTTAATTATTTATTTATTTTAATTATTTATTTATTTTAATTCTTTATTTATTTTACTTGACTGTTAATACCAAAGCAAAAGCTTCAACTTCGTGTAGATATTATGCGTACGGATTACGAATAAACATAAAACAATCTTACACCAATATACCAATAAGTTTAATAAACCAAAATTGCACATACTCCGGACAGATTTCTTATAAAGAGATGCTATGACAATATGATCAAATCTCTAGTTAATATCGTTTAGGTTGTGTA